TCCCCGTCGCTCTCAGAGCGGTGCCGTTCCGCGGACGTCGCTCTGACGGCAGCTGTGCGGATTCCTGGGAGCTCTGAGGGAGCGAAGCAGGACGGCGCAGAGCCGGCCGTGTGCGCGGCGCTGCCCGGCGCTGTCTGCGTGCTTTGCTTCGTTCTGCTCGCGCTGGAGTCCCATCGGTTTTGTCCTGGTGCGGAACAAAACAAACTACAGAACAGAATTCTTGTTTCCCCGCCAACCCCAGAAGTACTTCCAGTTGGTAAATGCTTTCACGGTGTTACCCCTTTCCAGAGGCCCTTACATCCCTCAGATACGCTGTTTCGGTCCCCTGTGAGCCATGCCGTGCAGACATCCCGCCTGGGAGCACGTCTGCACCACGGTGCCTCAGAGTAGGATCTTTGTTCTTTATTCTCATCCTCTGTTTGGTGGGCTCGTGTTCCCACTGGCGTTTGGTGTGTCAGAGGTCTGATGAGGACAGAGGGTGAGAGATCAGCGATAGCAGGTATCGTATCATAGAGCACTAGGATGGTCGGGTGGAGGGGACCTCAGAAATCATAGAACCGTGGGTAGTGGTGCCAGAAGGGACCTTGAAGATCATAGAACCGTGGAACGGTTGGGTTGGATGAGACTTTAAAAGTTCCTTCTGTGATTCTGGGCATCTCCCAGCCCCTACTGCCTCAGCACAGCAGGGGCTGCCGTGTCCCCGTCCCCAGACCCCGGCTGGCAGCAGGGTGGGCACCCAGCATCTCCACCTCTGTGCTGAGTGAGCCTCGCTTTTAAGTCCCAGCAGTGCAATTTAAATTCAGGCCGCAGCATTTCCCCCTTTTACTGCATCTCAAACAGCTTGCCACACTGATGCCTTCAGAGTAAAGCAACGCTGGTAATCTTCAGAAAACAAGAAAAGGCCAATGTTCAGAGCAGCAGTTTTGTCACGAGGCTGTTTGCTATTGCTCCAGCAGCGGGCTGCCTTTTGTAGGGTAGCAGCTCTGAGTGCCTCCTGAGCAGTGACTGGGTTAGAGTGGGAACAAACAAGAATGGGGAGCTGAGGGGAGAGAAGGGCTGAGAAAACAGCGGTGTTGGGTTGGCTGGTTCTTAGTTCTGTTTCAAAGCAGCTCTGCAATGGCACAGTTTGTAATTTTGTATCAATAATAATTACAACAATTCTGATATATTTATTTCCATGAAGCCTTCCAAAGTTTCAGACCCCAGGGGTGATTTGAAAGGCATTATTCCAAATCATGCAGGCATCTTAGACCACAAAATACAGTAACGTGTGGAATGTCCAGACGATTAATTTTTAGTAGCTGACATGGAAGCAAAAGGTCGTAAGTGTGTTTTGAAGACATGCAGCGTTAGGAGTATTACAGATCAGGGTTAAAATAGATAACAGCAGCAGCGTTGTCATTTGATGCATGAAAAAGCCAGACAGAGAGCTGTGCTAACACATACACCAGAGCCTTATTCCTGTTCTGATACAAAACCTCTATTTTATAAAACCTGGCCATTGATTAACAAACTGCCCGTAGTGACGTGGGTCAGCAGCCTCAGAACTTCTATTTTCCAACAGCTGTGCACCCCAGTCCCAAAGAAAAGCCTCCACTTCACACACAGCTATTGGTGGCACTGCTTAAAGAGGCAGGGCTGCACTTCTTTAGGGCGCTCAGTCTGTCAGCACTTTGCCCTGCTGGGGTTCTATAAAGCCTTTTTTACCGTAGAATCCTAGAATGGCCTGGGTTGCAAAGGCCCACAGTGCTCATCAGTTCCAACCCCCTGCTGTGTGCAGGTCACCAACCAGCAGCCCAGGCTGCCCAGAGCCACATCCAGCCTGGCCTTGAATGCCTGCAGGGATGGGGCATCCACAGCCTCCTTGGGCAGCCGGTTCCAGTGCTTCACCACCCTGTGTGTGAAAAACTTATATCTAAATATATATATATTATGTCTCCAAGCTGTTAATTAGTCTTAAACCATATTGTTTGTTCGAAAATAAACAACCCCAAAAAGCCAGCAATCCAAAGCCCAGCACAAAACCTCAGAGCTGTTTGATTTCTCCCCAGAACTCTCTCCCATATTTTTCTTTTCTGCGCGTTTTCTCTCAGCAGTGCATTAAAAATAACTTACCCCATCCTGTGTGGGGTTCTGTGCCATTGGTTTTGTAGATGTCATGTTGGAACAGAGCTCATTTTGTGGCAGAAGAGAAAACAATTTCAGTGGAATGGAAGTATTTTCTGTAGCACAGCATTGAGTGCTTTGCATCCTGGCTGCAGACAGCAGTGCCACCTGGCCAGGCAGCTCCACTGGGCTGCAGTGTCAGCCTCAGCGCTGGGGAAGGGGCAGCTCCTGCAGTGATCCCAGCAGCCCTGCAGGTATGAGCAGGGCAGCTCCGGGCTGCTTGTGCCTTTGCAGACAGACAGCCCCTAACTCTTGTCATGCCGTGGTGTTCTGCTGTTACCATGAAATGAGGATTTCTCATCTGAGTGCTTCCTGCTGGAAGTTGTTCTGCTTTCAGTCGGCTGCTCCTCTGCTGCTCCCGGTGCAAATCTGCCCTCATCACAACGTGGGGATAAAAGTGCTCTGAAATGGAGCACGTTCAGCTGTGAGCAGATTTGCAGTGAGCCTCTTGGCCTGGAACCAGTTTCAAACCTGGAACTATATTGAACCAATGTTAGGAGATGAGAGCTGCCCTGGAAATCAGGAGCCCGGAGGTGCTGGGATTTCAGGTCAGTTCCTTCAGTTCTGGGAAGCTGGTGCTGCTCAGGGCCGCTGCGCGGTGGGCCCTCCTCTATCAGCAATGGTGAACAGGGCTGTCCTGGGTGGCACTGCTGGAGGACCTCGTGCAGAGCCAATGAAGGGCAGCACCCACACCTGCCTGCTTTTAAGTTGTCCTCTTGGTTTTGCAGCTCAGCCTCGTGTGGTGCCGTCACAACGCGGCTCGCATCGCGCCGTGCTCTCACTGATGTCTGAGGGAAGGGACCTCAAATCCTTGTGCCCCATCTCAGTCTGATGGCTTTGGTTTGGTGCATCGCTGCCAGGCGCCACCACCAGAGTTATGTGGGAGATGTTGTATGGAACCTGGCAGTTACATAACAAACCCAAAGCGTGGTATTAAGTCACTTCTTACCCTTACCTCTGTGACAGTGCAGTTCTCAAGAATATCGACTGCTTGCATGTGCAGAGTAAATTTCTGTCTATAAACTGTGCTTGTAGGGTGGAACTGTAGGAGAGCAACTATTTTTGGTCTCAGCCACTGGCTATGCAATTCTGGACGTTTTGGATTTTGTCTTTTCTGTATCTTAAGTTTTGTTTTGTAGAGGTTAATTCATAGTCTTTCTAAAAGTATTCAGTCAAGCGACATTTCTTGTGACAGAGCGCTCTTGAAGAAGCACTGAAACCAAATAATGTTAATCTGAGCATTAATCCAGGTGAGTCCATGATGAAATTAAGGGAACAAACCTGCAGCACTGAATCCAACAAATACACTCTGTTTGCTCTACTGGCTCCCAAGCCGGCCTGCCCAACCCAATCCTTCAGGTCTGTGAAGGTGCCTTTGTGGGGAAGGAGAGGAGCCAGCATCCCTGCAGCCCGGGGGGCAGTGCGGTGTTCAGTGCCCTGCGAAGGGCCCTGGGGCTGTGCTGGAGCACGGAGGCAGCAGGTGAGGAAGGTGGTTGTGCTCCTTTCATTGCACGCTGTGTTGTTGTCTTCCTTGGCGCCCCTCCTCAAGGCCTCCTCCCCTGGATGCCCCTCTCATAAAGGGACACACAGAGCCCTGCGCTGAGCCGGGCTCCTCCTGGGGGCTGAGTGTTGCTTCCAGCTGCAGGGGGACTCATAGAATGGTTGGGTTGGGAAGGACTTGGGGATCACTGAGCTATAGAATGGTTGGGGTGAGAGGGTCCTGAACAAGTAATTGAGGAAAGTACATGATCAAGAGCAACAGATTTGTCTTTTAATTTATTTGTTTCTGTTTGTCTGTGTGTCTCATTATGGATCCTCTATGAGCTCATTGGGACAAGTCAGTTAGAACACTGTGGCTGCAATAGGCCAGAATGGAATTGCAGAACTGATTGATTCAGAGAGAACCAAGGCTGTGAAGGGAAGCAAACCAAGTGGCTTTGAGTGCTGTTTGGGTGAATGAGTTCATTTCAGTTTTATTTTGTTATTTTTTTGACACGAACCACAGGTGCTTTGGGTTTTGTGCTGGTGATATGGCACTGTAATTTTCTGTTATGTTCAAAAGACTCAATGGAGATATAGCAATAATAGTAAGAACTTCATAGAAAGTGCTACTTAATTGGCAGCAGTAGAAATTCATGTAACAGCCCGTGGGGAACCGGGCTCTTGGGAGTGGCTTGATCTTACAGCAAACAGACACACAGAGCATACAACACCTTAAGACTTAGGGTACAGCCTGTGCCTGTGGCTCTGTTAGAATTTCCTTGGCTACGTTTGCAGTGTGATTGACTTCTGATGGTACCCTTCGGTACTGACAAGGCATAGGGGGTAACAAAGCTCCCCGGCAGTTTGTGGCATACGGGACAGCTTGTGAGGCCGAAAGGAGAATTTTTCTGAGGCCCTCAGCACGGATTAGATAACGGGATGATGGAGAAGCGGTGCTTGGACTTCATGACCGTGGCGGTGTTTTCCAACCTGTACGATGCGGAGAGCGGTTCGGCCGCCGAGGCGCGCCGGCGTCCGCGGAGCGGTCTGACCGAGCGCCGACCGGAGAGATGCTGAAGCGCATCTCCGTGCAGAGCCGGGCATCTCCGTGCAGAGCCCCGCGGCGCTGCCCTCTGCGGTGCGGAGCGGTGCGGTGCGGGGCCGCCCCTCCCGGCACTGCCCGCCCCCAGCCCCGGCCCGGGCGGGGCCGCCGGCAGCACCTCCCGCGGGCGGGTTCTGCCCGGTGGCCGAGGGGAAGGTGGTGCCGGGCGGCCCCTCCCCGCCGCGTATAGCGCGGAGCGGCCGGCGGGACGCGGGGCTGCGGGCTGCGGCCCCGGCGTGGATGCGCGGCGATGCGGCGGGCACCGAACTCCGCGCTGCGGGCGGCGCTGCCGCTGCTGGGCGCCGCCGTGTGGCTGTGCGCAGGTAGGGGGCGGCGGGGGGCGGCGGGGGGCGGCGGGGGACGGGGGGCCGCTCGGGGTTGTTTGGTGCCCGCGACCCCCGGCCCGGCACTCCGAGAGCTGTGCCGCCGCCTGGCCGGGGTCAGCGTTGTTTCTCGGGAGGTTAAAGAGCTTAATGCATTTAATTATGATCAACGTATATCCGCCAGAAATAGGTCAGGTGGGATTTACGGGGAATTGCCGGTCCGGCTCTGGAGCCCATGCTCCCCGGCTCTGATGTCTCTGAAGTTCCTGACCGGGGGTTCTGACGGGCCGTACCCGCTGCACCTCGTCCTGTACTGCATTCACTCGGTGTTCCCTTGGGGTTCGGAGGTAGTGGCGTGCCCCATCCTGTGCCATCCCATCCCATCTCATCCTCACCTGTCCTGCTCTGCCCCCTCCCAAGCCAGCTGCTTCCCTCACAGCACTATGGGGTGTTCACTCTACTCATTCTTTCCTTTAAAGCTAACCCTGGGTGTCAGCTGCAGGCTCACAGAGCGACCTTTATCTTTAAGGAGCAGCAGCACAGCATGCAGTAGAACAGATCTGAGTTACTCTGATAGGCTCTCTGCAGTTTGCTTTTCTCTCAGTGTTTCCACTGTGGGAGTTTTGTGGTGTGATACTCAGATTGCTGCCACAGAGGTGGTGTGATCCTCACGGGAAAGAGGAGTTGGCTTTATCATTGTATTCAACCATCTTGCATGGCTTTTTCTCTTGGGTTGCTGTGGGTTTGTTCTCTGTTCTTCCCATCCTGTTGGTTGTCTGCCTCTCCAGCGAGGCTGAGCGCTGCACTGGGCACTGCAGGGTCCTGAGGAGCTATCAGTGTATCTCAGTGCTTGGGAACGTTTGCAGGGTTAAGAGGAGAAGGGTTTTGCTGCAGACACGGTGAGCTGTCCCACTGTTCTGTATGTTCTCATCCCTTGGGTGGACTCGCTTGAAATTGGAGCTTATTCTCAGGTCTGCATTGGTTTGGTGCTTGGGTTTATTGGCAGTTTAATCCTTTGCTCCACCACCTTTGCTATCCATCTCCTCTGCCTGCACTGTGCTCGGTGCCGGCGGTCCCTCCTGTGCTGCTCGGGGTGCCTGCGGGGCTGTGGAGTGAGGGGTGGGATCTGCACAGTGCTGCCTGGGGGCTCACCTGGCACCCAGTGTCAGCACTGTTCCCATTTCTTGAGAGACTCCTCGGACACGCTGTGCATTTGGGAGAGGTGGATCCCCGCTCAGAACAGGTTGCAGCTGAAAATTGCTAAGCAGGGATAAATGAATGAGAACAGCACAGAACTGGGCTCTTGCTATGCAGTAAGTGCAGTGTTAAAATCCAAACAACCAAACTTCAGCTCTTTGTCTTTCCCCTACTGCAAAACACATATCTGTTGATAAAAGCAGTTGTGGAGATGCCCTGTGGCAGGTTCTGTAGTGGAGTTTGTTGTGGAATGTGGAAACGCCTGTGGTGATGTACCAAAAGCAGAAAGTACCCCTATGTACCGTGGTGGCAAAGCAGTTGTACCCCTTTGCTGGAGGGTTTAATGTGCTGCTCTGTACCAAGGTATGGCTGTGAGAGCTGATGCTCTTTTCCATTGCTTTTACAAGAGGAAAGCTTTAACAATAGTAATATTAATAAAAGGTTTAATAACAAAGCAGTGAGAATTGCCAAGTGCTTAACGGTCAATGAGTTGGGTTGTGTTGAGAGCCAGTCCTGGTGACGCGAACCCTGGGCGGTCTGTGGGGAGCAGTCAGATGAGCAGCTGTAGGTGGGATGTGGTGGGGCACAGTGTGGGGCCGGTTCAGGGCCTCAGCAGCCACTGTGGATGGCTGTTTGGGGCTCAGTCTGAACTGGTGTGGATGGCTGTCCGGGGCTCAGTCCAGCCCCGTGCTCTGCCTGAGGAGCACTCGGTACCATTGGGGGTTACAGAGCAGCGACGTGGAAGTGAGCAGGGGGCAGATAACAGGGCGAGCTGCTTGGGTAATAACTCCAACCCAGGTCAGAAATGCTTCCTCCCTTGCAGCTCTCTGCTGTCAGGCTCTGAGCTGCCCTTTGCTGTTCTGCCCTGCAGAGAGCAAAGTCCGAGCTGGAGCCCAAAAAGGCAGCACCTCTGTGCTGGATGTGGCTCCTGAAGTGATCTTCTTCAGCACAAGTGATCTTTGCACATTCTGTTTTTCATGCAAGTGGCATTTTACCTCTCTGTTGTTGGCTCATCTTCAGCTCGGCAGCAGCAAGATAAGTAACACATATTGAAGAGTTGGATTGCAGACGACCTGAGCTGGATGCAGAACCTCAGTGCCTCCTCCATCAGCACGTATGTGGGCACTGTGGAATGGGGCGAAACAGAGATACTTCAGGTTTCCCAGTGCTGATCTGAAATACTTTGCTCTTCTTATTGCAGTAGTTTCAAAACATCCATATCTTCGTCTTCAAAGCCAGGTTTCCAAGGGCACCCGTTCTCCAGGGGCTGGGCTGGGGAGGGGTGCGGGGATCTGAGAGGGCTTTTCCAGCCTTTATAACTCTGTGATTCTATGATGATTTATCCTAAGTGGTGGAGGTAAGACCTACACCTTATGCTGTTGGGAAAAGGGACAGATCCCATTCATCTTCTCAATATGAGCCACAATTTCTTTATAAGACTCTGCAAGAGCCCAATTCTGAGCTGGTCTCACCCCCCCACCTGCTCCGTGCCTTTCAGGCTCTGTGCCCATTGCAACCCGCCACTGAGGCCAGGCCCAGGGCCGGCAGTGTTTCCCTGCTCCTCCCAATGGGGTTGGGGCCATCGGGCAGCACGGCTGCCTCTGGGCCACCCCTGCCATGGCAGTAGCAGATGTGGGGCCATTGCCACATACAGCTGCATGTGGCTGAAAGATGCTCTGCGCGGCTGCTTGGAGAGGAATGGGACGGCCTCGTGGTAAGGGGGAGAGCAGCTCTGCCTTGTGGCAGCACATTTCTTTGCATGTGATCAGTGTCTGCACTCAGATTTCATTCTGAGGCACTCTGCTGCCTGGTAAGCACAGTCAGGATCTGCTCACCGTTGTGGATACTGCCAGATTATGACTTAATGGAGGATTACCGCTGTGCTGATCTGCATAGTGAGGAATCTGTGCTAAATGCAGAGCTCACAGGAGGCAGCAAGTCCCCTCCTCCTGCAGCCTCAGCCCATACTTTGTGCCACACTGCTGGTCAGTCTATGCCACACGTGTGCTCTATTCTTTCCATTTAACTTCCAAACGTGTACTGCGTAACTCTGCTTGCTTTAACTGTTTGCTGCTGTCCTTAAGCCGGTGTCTGAACTCGTGTTCTTCCATCTGTTGCAATTTCTGTAGCAAGAACAGAAGAAAAAACACCCTTAATGATGCCGAAGCAGGGAGCACACATTCTGCCCGGTCTCTCTAGCTAGAAGTTGCTTTCCTTGTGAGTTTTGGCACTGTGAACCCACCCGCTGCCCCCCCTGGCACTGCAGCCCCTCTGGGTAAGGTCGGCCCCAACTGCTCTGCAGGGCAGAGGCCGTGCAGCCCCGGGGCTCAGCCCATCTCTGTGAGGGGACGTGGGGCTGTGGGAGGGCTGCGTGTGGGGCCAGAGGCTGCTGGATGCCTGGCATAGCTCTGCGAGGCCGCAGGATTTCGCTTGTCCTCTTTCTCCTAATTTCTCAACAAGAGAATGCAATGTGTTAAGGGAAATGTTGCCATGCTTGAGTAAGTAACAGAGTTGTTCTTGTTACTGCATTAAGACTGCCTCGTTTTGAAATCTGGGAGCATGTTTTCTTCCTGCCCCTTTGATCCTTTCCTTTTAAGCCCTTCTTGTCCCTCATCCCTCCTCTTCTGCACACTGTGCAGTACTGCAGGCTGGCTGCAGGAGCGCCGTGCAGCTGAGGGGCTGCTCAGTGGGAGAAATGGGACAGGGTGATGGCAGTGGGGACTCAGGGCCAGAGCAGAGCTGGAAGGAGCTGGTGGATGGGCTCTGAAGTGTTCTGCTGGGGCGGGGGTTCATCTGGGGGCTGAACACCTCCACTTTCAGAAGCAGTGGTAATGTGATGGGGCTGTACTGGCAGTCTGTACCCATAAACTTTTTGTTCTGCGTGGTGTAATGGTGTCTTGCAGAAAGAACTCTGTGGGGAAGAGCCCTGGTTTTAGCTGTGGGCAGCGAATTGGATGGGTCAGTTTCAAGCAGAATGTCCAGAACTAATAGGAAAAATGGACCTGGGCACTCCAACAGAGCGCTCTGAGCACAGCAGCAGGAAATGCCAACCTTCATGCAGCGGTGCTTTGCTCTGCCTGCAGTGAGCTGGCTGTTGGACATTGTGTGTGTGAGCTCCAGCCCCCGGCCATGAACAGGCTCCAGGTGGAAGGGTGAAGCCCTTCATTTGGGCAATAATTGATGGCCCCAGCTCGGTCAGAGCGGGCACACAGGGCTCCGGGGCGCCCTTCTCTCTCCCTGTGCTCATCTGAAGCCACCCACAGAGTTTCAGGGTATAGATCAAACAGTTATCTACCGTGAATGGCATTGAAAAGACCATTTCCTATTTTATTTTTAGCCTTGAGAAGATGAGAGAAAGCAGCATAATGGCACATCTGAATCACTGAAGACCCTGCAGCAGCAGTTTGTTTTCATTTCCTCAAGTAATGCTTTTGTTTTGCAGCATCAGTGACGAAGTGTTTTCCCTCCCGATGTCTCATTTCCCTGGATGTGCTGAGTCTCACCCTGCCCACCCCAGGACCATGATGATGTATCTCACAGCAGCTCACCGGGTGGCTGTGCTCTCCCTGCACAGAGCTGCAGCCGGCGATGCGCCCTGCCTGCCTGCGGGTGGGATAAACACGGGCATATGGTGCCAGGGAATTTTGTGGGGCCCGAGCTGAGGATAAACACCACAAGCTGTTCCTTGTAGTACGGGATGGAGGTTGCTGTAAAGACAACAAATTGTGTGGCAGAAACAGAAATTGGATTCGTGGTGATGTCTGTCAGAGCTCGCTCTGCCTCGGCTGCGTCCCTCCTGAGATGTGAGCTCAGATGCAGTTACACGGAGGGGTGGGCACTCTGTGCTTTCATCTTCCGCAGGCTGGGTGTGATGTGTGATGTGTGTGATGAGGTGTGATGGCACAGCCTGGTGGAGCTCCTGGCTAGGGCAGGTGGTGCCCCGCAGAGAGGACTGCAGTGCGTGCGGGGCTGTGCTGCCTTCCTGAGCTTGGCTTAGAGATGGAATGATGCTCTTCTGGCCCTGGTGGCCATTGGCCATCTGAGATTTGAGTCACCTCGTGCTTTTGCTTTTTAGACGTCATCTTTAAGTAAAATAAATAGTGCTCCTGGTTCCCAAAGTAACAGGATGGTGCAAGGATAATGCTTTTTTATTCTGTGCAGACCCCAGGTTGTGTCACAGAGCAGAGTTCCACCTTGCAGGTGCCGCTGACCCAGTGAGGGTGTGCAGAACGCATCCCACGAGTCCATGGTGGGGCAGGGCAGGCGGGCAGGATGCTGCTGGCCCTGCCCTCACAGAACCGTGTGTTGCAGGGCTCCAGTGCGTGTGCCAGCTGTGCGAGCACACCAACTTCACCTGCCAGACGGAGGGAGCGTGCTGGGCCTCGGTCATGCTGACCAACGGCAAGGAGGAGGTGATCAAATCCTGCGTGTCCCTGCCGGAGCTCAACGCTCAGGTCTTCTGCCACAGCTCCAAGAACATCACCAAGACCGAGTGCTGCTACACCGACTTCTGCAACAACATCACCCTCCGCCTGCCCGTAGGTGCGTGCTGCGGCGCTGCGGCGCCTGTGCTGGCGTGGGCAGAGCGTGGCTGGGCGCTGCTCTGGGGGCTGGCAGCAGAACTGAAGCTGAGGGGGGTGGTGCGTATGGTTGTCACTGCTGGGGGGAGTCCTTGTGTCTCTGCGAGCAGGCAGGTTTGCCTTCAGCTTTTGGCCGTGCGGCGCAGGGGAGCAGCCTGTGGGACAGCCTTGCTCAGAGCTCAGTTGTGTCAGCAGTCCCTGCCCAGCAGACACAAGGTGTGAATGAAATTTCTGCCTTCAGGGGATGGAGGAGCTGAGTGCACCGCACAGTGCTGGACCAATTCCTGTGCAATGGAGTTGGTTTGGTTCTTTAAAAAATGTATGTTTGCACTGGTTTTAGATTTAATTGTTGGTAAAATACCTCACCCTTCTGTCCAGGGTTTGTGTGTCTAATCCAAGCTTTACAGTAAGCTGTCAAATACTCAGCTTTATCAGATGACACCTTTTGATGTACTTAGAGCAGTGAGAGATCTTACAGGTAAGAAAGATGTGGATTAATGCGTAATTTATAGTTACAACTTCCACTCAAGCTGCTATCATTAGCAGCATAGTGAAAGCACTCTGTTAATACTTGGCAGGATGAAATGCTCCTATAACACCATTCAGTATGTGAGCAATAGGCAGGTGACCACAGGGAAAGGGTGGAAGGAGGGCTGTGAATCTCATCCATGGGAATGAGCCGTGCCTGCTGCTGGTGGCTAAGGGTTGTTCAGGTGCATATCTTCCAGCTGACGGCAGAAGGGAGATGCCAGTGGTAGCTGAGCTCCAGAAATGCAGAAACAAACCGCCACGCTTGTGTAGGCAGAGATGCTGGGGCCTGGGAGAAGCTGCTGCCTACAGTTGAGAATGGAGACATGTCTGTTCCCAATGTTTGGGCTGGGTTGTGAAACCTCTGGTTTTCTATTTCAGTACCAGAGAAAATTAATTAATTTTTAGCCTGAACCCTTTCCTCTGAACATTTGGGGGAGCTCACGGTAGTCAGAAAGTGACAGTGCCAAGGCCCTTTGTTTGTCTCCTGGTCTCCCCTGACAGCCCCTTTCACACAGCCCTCGCTGTATCACAGCACTGCAGGGCTGGAAGGGTTCTCTGCACTCTCTGGTCAACCTGTGTGAAGCAGTTCCCTACAGCAGCTGCACAGGAGTGCACCCCGGTGGGTTTGGGTATCTGCAGAGGAGGAGCTGTGTGCCAGCTGTGTTCAGGCTCCAGCAGAGCAAAGCATTCCTCAGGCCACACCTGTGTGCTGTGCTCAGCTGCACAGTTCCCATTGCTGCTTTGCACAAGAGGAGGCTGCTCCTGTTCTGAGCTGAGCTTTTCACAGTGTGTGAAGGCAAACCTTTCTGGGGGCAGATGCAGGCTTCCCATCTGTTTTTTTATGCACTTGCTGCCATGGATTTCGTTACCATACTTTTGCATTAGGGGACGAAATGTTCCAAAGCGCAGAAGTAGTTTGCAGTGATGGGGGTTTTGTTGTGTTGCCCTGAATGTACCCCAGGTTTCTGCTATTTGAACCACAATACTGAGCAGCCCTTCCTCACAAAGTGGCAGAGCTTTGTGGAGCAGAATGAGTGGCGTGGGGTTAACAAGTGCTATGAGTTGTGACTGATGGCTCTTCCCTGCTGCTGCCCAGCCAGCATGGAGGCACTGGCAGCACCCATTGCTGCTCACACCTGCAGCGTGGGAATGTGCAGCAGGGAGAGAAAAAGTGGGATAGAGCTGGATTTAGAAATACACGTCCCTTGTGTTTGTCCATGTTGATGGAAAAGGTGGTTTGTACTGGAGGACTAATTGCCAGGCAACGTTCTCTGTCTCTCTCCCTCTCTCTCACTCTTTTCAATATTGTCTGTAGGTTTTGTATGAACAAACACAGAGTCATAGAATCCTTAGAGCTGGAAGAGACCTCTGAGGTCCATCCAGTCCAACTCCCCTGCAATGCAGAGGGACACCAAGCTCCATCAGGTTGCCCAGGGCCTGATCCAGCCGTGCCTTGAATGTCTCCAGGGCTGGGGGCATTAACCACATCACTGGGCAACCTGTTCAGTGCTTTACCACCCTTACTGTGAAAGACCTTTTCCTTATGTCTAACCTAAATCTCCCTTCCCTGAGTTTCAAGCCATTTCCCCTTGTTCTATCACCGCAGACCCTGCTATAGAATCTGTCCCTTCTTTCCTGTCTCTCTCCTTTAGATACTGCCAAGCTGCTCCCAGGTCAGCAGCCTTCTCCATCTGCTCAGCCCCAGCTCTCAGCCCATCCTCATAGGAGAAATGTTCCATTCTGTGCATAACTCCGTTACATTTACCTGCTTGGAAGTGTCCTCAAGACACCAAAGCCTTTATCTGTGCATTCCATTCATCTAAGTATTCAAGAAGTGGACACTGCTGTATGAGAGCTTTTACAGATTTCACATTACAAAATGTGAACCTTACAAAACTGGCATTAATTGTCTGTTACTGAGCAGGATGACAATGCTTCACTTTGCTTTCCCAGCACTCACTTGGTCAAGCACAGAGTTAGGTGGAAGCTGCAGAGCAGATAGTGAGTGAAGAGGCTTTCCAGTATCTTCCCAGAACGTGCTGATGAATAAGAGCAGGGAGGATGGAGAATGGAGCACAGAGAGGAGAGGCGGGGAGATATTTTGATATATTTTTCTCCCTTCTGCATGGCCGCTTCGGTTCCTCTGAGTGGATGAGCTCGGGAGCCGATGCCGGAGTGCAGTGATGACAGCGTGTGTTACTGCAGGCTGTGTTGTGTTGCTGCAAGTTCATCCAGTTGGCCGCTTTCTGCTTTGTTTTCTGTCGGAGGCATTTCGGTCTGCGGCAGCCTGGCCATCAGGACGGGGTCAGGACTGGGAAAAGCGGGGGGCAGGAGGAGCTGCTGCGCCCAGCTCTCAGCGCCCTCAACCCGAGCTCGTTTGCTCCTCAAGTCCATGCGGCTCGGTGCTGTGCCGCAGCCCTCGGGATGCTCGCCCTGAGAAGCCCTGCAGGCGGTGCTGCAGCCTTCGTGGCCGCTCCGTGTGCCGTGCGCGCTGCTGGCTGCCCGCACCTCGCCTGGCCCGGATCCGTGTCCTCTGCGGGGATTTGTAAGAGCACAGCCAGTGGAAGGGAGGTGGGGGCAGGGGCAGGGAAACAGCAATTTAGATAATGCTCTGTTTATCTCACAGCTGTATCCCCGAAGGCTTTCCTTGAACCTCGGCACCCTTTGGCAGCCCTTTCCCAGCTGTTTTCTGGTTGTCCTGAAAGCCTGCAGTCATGGAACTCTGCATTAAATGCAGTGTATTTCCTTACAGCAATGGAAAGAATGGTTTTGGTTTTCTTTTTCCATCTCTGAAAAGTTTGGTAACTTAAATATGAATAGTTTTGTGCTTTCGGGAGTCTTAAGGTGGCATGTCAAAATCCAGGCAGGTGCTGTGTGAGAGAATGTCTTTTCCATGGGAGCAAAGAGAACTATCCTTCTTTTTCTCCTGCCTGAAAGCACTCCTGTTTACACCACTTGGAAGAGAGCTGCACCACATTGTGAAATTGCTGGAAGTTGCCAGATGTTCTATTTTTGTTTCATACATGACAACAAATCTGCAGGGCCTATTCCTGATCAGTAAGTCAATAATAGATTAGAAATAAGATTGCAACATGTTTTGATTAATGGTGTTGATTTTAGTGCTTTAGGTATCCATGAGAGATGTTCTTATTTCTCAAAGAGTTGAGTGCTGCATAATTGTGTAAACATTACCACACTTATTTGGTGATTTGGTCCTAAATTGCTGTTTGTACGGCGAGCGCTGTGTGTTTTGCACTGGCACTGTTTGTCCCTCCCCGAGATGTGCTTTTGGAGCAGCCCCACGGGCGCCAGCTCTGAGCCCTGAGGTGGGGCTGTGGCTGCAGGAGCTGTGCTGTGGGGTCAGTGCTGGGAAGTGCAGCAGAAACCACAGTGCTGGTAATTCCTGAGACTCTTATGTGTGCTCTGTTTAGGCCTGGCCAGGACTGGAGTGGCTGCCACCAGTGCTTTGTCTTCCCTACCAGTGAGTGCTAGGAGATGGCTGCTGCGGGCTCCAGCTGCTCCTCCCAGCAGGCTTCCCTGGGCAGGGGGCCTCTGTGTCCCCCAGGAGCTCAGTGCAGACCCCAAGCTGTTCCGGGAACCCCATCCTCCAACCTCTCCCCTTCTGTGCCCGAGCTCCCAACCTGCAGCAGCAATCTCAGAGCAGACCTGTAAGTGTTGCTGAAGTCCATTTCATTCCAAAAATGCTGCTTAGGTTGTGGAGTTGGTGTCTGTTTGCATCCCTGGTGCTGGATGTCAGCCTCATGAGTGGATCTGTCTGAATCTTGTTTCTGCCTTGCGGGCATCTCACTGAGCCCCCATAATGGCCATGAGTGTGCTTGAGTCCTCCTATGTCCCTGAGAGAGAAGTGCCAGGAAGGGGATGTGTGGCAGCAGTGGATGTATGCGGCGGTGCAAAGCAACAGAGATGAGAGGATAGAGGACCTCAGCTGGTGAAGTAAAGCCTTGTCTGACAGCAGCAACTGTGTGCATGTGGTGGGGATGGAGCAGCGGGCATCGAGCATCCCACCAGCAGTGCTGCTCGGCCCATGCAGCCTGCCTGTGCATCCCATCAGCACGGCTGTGCAGCCTGCCATGTGCGTGGCACCCACATGTGGTGGTGCTCAGGGAGCGGAGCAGCTGGGGCCGATGCTTTGCAGTAGCACTGCCTGCACGGCTTCCAGCAGGTAAGTGGCATTGCCCCCTGGGGGCTGTGGGAGCTGGGAGCTGTGGGAGATGGAAGGTCCCCTGCTGCACGTTGCTGTCTGCTCGGTGCACTTCACACCTCCCTGAGCATTTCCCTTTGGATGCTGTTCGTACCGTCCTTAGGATGAGCAAGCTTTTAGAGCATTTTCCACTGTGCTGTTTTTCAGCAGTTGGTGGCAGGAACTGATGCTTTAAAAGGTCTTTCCTGTATGCATTTCTTTACCAGCCCCCGGCACTAGGAAGCGCCCGTGTCTGCACAGCCTCCTGAGCAGTACTGAAGGAAAACTCCTGGGCAAGATGGGGTGAATTTTGTTTGCAGAGCAGTTTGAGCTGCACACTGCAAACAGATGCAGACCTCTGTTGTTAACACTCTGTTTCCTTTTTCCCTTGGTCAAAGCTGGGCAGAAGAAAGAAGGCAGCTCTGCAAAGCTGATCACAGCCCTGGCACCTCTGCATTGCCGAGGGCACATCTTGCCACTGTGGAGAAACTGCTGCTGGTGTCACTGCACCTGGAGGAGTGTAGCCTTCGGTGCTGGGCTGGGGAGATCCACATCCTTCCTCCTCCTCCTCCTCCTCCACAACACAGAGCAATGCTGGGGCTGTGCAGCACCCAGAGAGCCCCGCTGCCCCCAGAAGGGCTGTTGCACACTGCTGAGTGCCCTCCGGAGGGAGAGAGGCTCTTGGTGTTCTATAGCTGCCAACTTTGTGGGGTGTGCATGGCTTCCCAGGCTTTGATAGCTTGTGGATCTGCCGTGGGGTACTTGTGCTTCAGTGTGTTTTGATTCTGAGTGGCTGTTTATTTATTTGTTTGTTTGTTTATTTAGATTATTCACAACTCCTTAGGCCTTAGGAGTCTGTGTATGGATGTGCAATCCCTTAGTAATGTGCCCCTGCAGCCTCTTGCTGTGTGCTTTTCCCATATCATTTTAAAGCAGAACGTGGTGTGGGACAGTCCCATCTCCTGACCTTTGTAAAATACAGCTTGTGAGCACATGTTTTCCAAGTGTTCTGCCTTAGGAATCCTGTTACTGTCTCATTAGATCTTTGCGTGTCCCACATCCATTGGGTGTTAGGGAGGCAGCTTCTCCAGGGCTCTGCATTTGGCTGGGCTGGCGCTGAGAATTCCAAGCACAAACCCGAAGGAGCAGGCAGGGCTCTGTTCCCCGTGGGCTGTGAGCCATTGGGTCACAGCACTGCTCAGCCCCCAGCGGTTCCTCACTGACCGTCTGTTTCTCCCCCCTCTTCCCTCGTCTCTCCCTGAAGCCTCCGAGTCCCCCGGTCGTGCTGCCGTGGGTCCCGTGGTGCTGGCGGCGACGGTGGCCGTGCCCATCTGCGTCCTGTCCCTCGTGGCAGTGCTGGCTGCCTGCAGCTGCCAGGGCCGGCGCTGCGCCCGCGGCAGGACGAAGCCGCCCAACGTGGAGGAGCCGCTCTCCGAATGCAACCTGGTCAGCGCGGGCAAGACGCTCAAGGACCTCATTTATGACATGACGACGTCTGGCTCCGGCTCTGGTATGTGGGCGTCCGTGTGAGCTGCGCCTCCAACCGGCCGGCATCTGTCCTGCTTCTGGACCATAGAATCACAGAATCATTGCAGGCTGCTCAGGGCAATGCGGGCGCCCCATCCCTGCAGGTGCCCGAGGCCATAGATGGGGCCCTGGGCAGCCTGAGCTGCTGGGGGTTGGAACTAGATGATCTTTAAGGTCCCATCCAACCTAACCTCCCTCCAGTACTTGAAGGGAGCGTATAAACGGTAGGGGGAATGGCTGTCTATGGGGGTGGATAGTGATGGGACAAGGGGGAATGGTTTTAAACTGAGACAGGGGAGGTTTTAGATTGGATGTTAGGAGGAAGTTTTTCACACACAGGGTGGTGAGGCACTGGCACAGGTTGCCCAAGGAGGCTGTGGATGCCCCATCCCTGCAGGCATTCAAGGCCAGGCTGGATGTGGCTCTGGGCAGCCTGGGCTGCTGGTTGGCGACCTGCACACAGCAGGGGGTTGGAACTGGGTGAGCACTGTGGTCTTTTGCAACTCAGGCCATCCTGTGATTCTGTGATTCTATGATTCTGAGCCATTCTATGGTTTTGTGATTAAAGTTGGAAAAGATCACTAACATCATCTGGTTCCACTGCAAAACCACCCCTGCAGGTCGTTGGGGACATCAGAATCCCTGAACCATCTGGTTTGGAAGGGAGCTCTGGAGTTCCCCAGTGCAGGTTCCTGAAGCAGGTTCCAGGTGCTGGCAGTGCTTGTGCCGAGTACCCTGAGTGTGGGCACTGTGAGTCCCACGCTGAGCAAGGGCTGCGTGTGAATGGAGGGCAGCAGGGCCTTGGTGGGTGGTCTTGTCAGGTAGCCAAGCTCAATCCCCTGTTCTGGTACAGAAGTTAATGCAGTGTGATTCAGATATTTGCTGCCAGTGCTAAAGGAGGCATTACTGCTGATGTGCTGTGGCTGGCCGCAGAGCTGGGTGAGTCGGAGAGGTGCTCCAGGATCTTCCTGAGGGCTCCAGGATACCAGTACTGCACACACTTCTTTGGAGCAGAATCCCAACCTTTGTAATATTTTATCCTTCTTATATCCTACCTACTCTGCTGTTATTGAGAACGTGCTAAATCAGCGAATCGCAAATCTCCAAGTTCCAGATCATCACTCCATGGCACATCTAGTCTGTGTGGCCCAATTTGCTGTAACTAGGATTTTTATTTATCTGAAAAAAAACACACATATTGTGCTTCATCTTATTAATAGGTGAAAAATATGTGAAGGGTGCTGAGTTTAGTTAACCATATTTTCTATGCCCACCTGAGGCACGGCCCAATGGGAAACCAGGAGCACACGCAGAGCTCCATGTGCATGAAAATGACTCCCTGTTCAGAGGAGTACACAGCAGAGACAAGTGCAGGTCAGATGTTATTAATTCTGATGGCTTTTGCATTCTCAGCAGACACAGGCATAGGGGCAGAGCGTGGGTATGCGTGCTCCAAGCGAGGAAAATGTTATTGCTGCTGGTATTTCATAGCCCTGGGGTATGGCCCATCTCTGAGAGGTGAATATGACACAGGGCAGCCTGGGCTGAGCCCGCTGTGTGTGCTCAGTGCAGGGCAGGGCGGCGTGGGCTGCACTGGGTGCAGCGTGGCCTCAGCTGTCTGACGTCCAGCAGTGGGCGACGTGCTTCAGATGGAAAGTAAAACTGAGAACTTGATCTGGGGAAGGGTCGTTGTCTGCCAGCTCACTGGATGACCTCTGACTTCGGCCTTGGAAAACTGCTGGTGAAGTGTTTCACCGATGCTGTGCTTTCTTTTTGAACCAGGCTTACCTCTGCTCGTACAGAGAACCATTGCGAGGACCATCGTTCTGCAGGAGATCGTAGGGAAGGGGCGCTTCGGAGAAGTGTGGCGTGGGAAGTGGTGCGGGGAGGACGTGGCTGTGAAAATCTTCTCCTCGAGAGACGAGCGGTCCTGGTTCCGGGAGGCAGAGATTTATCAGACAGTTATGCTGAGACATGAGAACATCCTGGGCTTTATTGCTGCTGATAACAAGGGTACGGTGGCGTTTCTTCATTCCGTTTCACAACTGAGGGCTGGCTGGGAAGCAGACCATCACTGCACATTGCCTGGGGTGGGCTCTGACTGCTCTGTGTGCTGGGGTGGGCGCTGGCCAAAGGGCAGGGAGTGCTCCTCCACATGCCTTCTCCTAGGCAGCCGCATCTCCTTGCTTCTTCTCAACAGACAACGGGACCTGGACCCAGCTGTGGCTCGTCTCCGAGTACCACGAGCAGGGCTCCCTGTTTGACTACCTGAACAGGGGCACGGTGACGGCAGAGGGCATAGTGAGGCTGGCACTGTCCATCGCCAGCGGCCTGGCACACCTGCACATGGAGATCGTGGGCACGCAGGGTGAGCGCTCCTCCTCCCGATCCTCCGCCTTCACCTGCATTAGGGGACTGCACTGCTGCTGGCAGAAATGCTTAGCTGTCAGCAGAGCATTCTACATGCTGTTGCAGTGCAAGAAATGCTCTTAGCATAAGTGTACGTGATACAGTGCAAACAGAAGATAGGAAGCAGTCAGCCCGACTGAGCTTGCAGTCCTCTCAGCTTTTAAAATGCAATTTTTCTGAGCTTCAGCACTGTTTTTTTTTGGGAGACAGCCCAAACAGACCCTTCCTTGCCAGTCAGACATGAAGATCTGCTCTATAATCAGACAAAGCTCTCTGCTGTTATGTGATGGCTCAGCAGTGCTGGCTCACCCAGGCACTCCTGGCCTGCTCCAGTCATCGTAAGTGAGTGTCTGGAGGAGCACCTGTTGGAGGGTGCACTGATAAGCAGTTCCCTATCACTTTGGAGTGGAATTTTGCAGTTCTGTTCCTGAAATGCAAACATTTGAACAAAGACACCTTCAAGGTCTTGTTGCTGTTTTTTAATTGGATAGCATTAAGCAGAGCTTTACTTGGAATGGAATCGACTGTCATATCTTTTACAAGGAAGAGCTCCAAAGCTGATTGCAGTCACTTTTCTTTTGCTTGCTCATTATGTTACAAGTTTCTTTGTGGCCATCAGAACAGCCAGCACTCTCCTTCCCATGAACAGGCAAACCGGCGATCGCTCACAGGGACCTGAAGTCCAAGAACATCCTGGTGAAGAGGAACGAGAGCTGTGCCATCGCAGACCTGGGGCTGGCAGTGAAGCACGACTCCGTGCTCAACACCATCGACATCCCCCAGAACCCGCGGGTGGGGACGAGGAGGTATGGGTGCAGCAGGGTGGGACAGGGGGCAGCCAGCCCAGGGCAGGGGATGGGGGGCTGTGAGGACCCCTCCAAGCCAACCGTTCTGCCAGGGTGTGATTCTGTGACCCTTTAAAGGTACATGGCTCCTGAGATACTGGATGACGCGATGAACACCAACATCTTTGAGTCCTTCAAGCGTGCGGACATCTACTCTCTTGGGCTGGTGTACTGGGAGATAGCACGGAGGTGTTGTGTTGGAGGTGAGCTGTCTGCCCTTGGCGTTTTGCAATCTGGACTGCTGTTATCCCAGATAAACACAGAGCAATTAAAGGAGCTGTGTCCCTGGCCCTGCATTCTCAATTATCTTGGCAGGATGTGAAGGTGGAAATAAATCTGTTGCTGAGCATTTTTTCTCCACCAGGAAATGAGGTGGCCATGAAAGTTGCTCTGTTCCTTCTCGTTGCCCATGAAAACATCAGCCATGCTTTTATCCTGGGGCAGCTGCTGCGCATCTTGTGACGTGTCTGCTGCATCTCTCTAGGGATCACTGAGGAGTACCAGCTGCCTTACTACGACGTCGTGCCTTCTGATCCCTCGATAGAAGATATGAGAAGGGTGGTTTGTGAGCAGAAGCTCCGACCAAATATTCCAAACCAGTGGCAAAGCTGTGAGGTAAGAGCAGTTCTTTAGGAAACCTCTCTGGATGCAGACAGAGTTGCTCGGCGAGCCAGAGGGCGGTCAGTGTGGCTCTTAGTGAATGGCATGGCTGTGGTGCTGCTGTTGCAGAGAGCTGTGTGTGATGTCCCAGTGTTCTCCCCTGTCCCCATGACACTTTGCAGGCACTGCGGGTGATGGGCCGGATCATGCGGGAGTGCTGGTACGCCAACGGTGCAGCACGGCTCACTGCTCTGCGCATCAAGAAGACCATCTCACAGCTCTGTGTGCAGGAAGACTCCAAAACCTAACGGCTCCAGCAGGAGGAGGGCACTGCGTTCTGCTGTTCATCTGTTGACATGTGATATTATTTTTCTTTTTGGTCTACCTCATGTGACGCAGGTCGGTATTTAAGTGCCCAGAACAGAGTGCTGCCATCTGGCTTCATAGCTGGCTACTGGAAGGGGCTCATTTTGACCTGTAGCTCTCGCTCTGTACAGCAAGCTGCTGGTTGGGCTGCCTGAGGAAGATGGGACGCTAGGTGAATAGCAGGAAGGAGCTTTAAACACGTCGGTGTAAATGTACCTTCTGCTATTGTGCTTTCTGTCCTTGTCAAAGCCAATGTACTGCAAATCGCTGGGACTGCTTAAAGCACGTCTGCAAGAGAAAGCACAGCTTCATCCTCAAACCCAGCAAAAGACCAAATTTCATCCAGCTTTTTGCTGCTTCGACGCAGGGATCTGAGAAGGGGCTGTCAGTAAAATGCATTTTTAAATACTGTATTTGTCTTTACCTAAGCAAATAAGGTGAAAAAGGTTTCAAAGTGAGACAGGAGAGGTTTAGGTTGGATATTAGGAGGAAGTTTTTCCCCAGAGGGTGGTGAGGCACTGGAACAGGCTGCCCAAGGAGGCTGTGGATGCCCCATCCCTGCAGGCATTCAAGGCCAGGCTGGATGTGGCTCTGGGCAGCCTGGACCTGCACACAGCAGGGGTTGAAAGTGGATGAGCACGGTGGGCCTTTGCAACCCAGGCCATTCTGTGATTCTATGAAAATTCCACTGAGCATAAATACTGTGAACAAAAGCCTGTTTGTTGTTGTTGTTTGTTTTTGTTTTTGTTTTTGTTTTTTTTACTTTTATTCTTCTTGTCTCAGTTTCACACACAGTATTATAGTCAGGAGTTGAAGTTATTTTGTTCTTTTCATCTGAGCTGAGTGCATCGATCAAAGGCCAATTGATTTCTCTCTAGGAAGTATAGTGCAAGCAATAATATTCTGGTGAATACATAGGAATGGAATGGGAGAAATTCTACTGAAGCTGAGAATGTGTGCATTTTTAAGCAGCTTCTTAGAAGTCTCTAAGACTTCTGTCCCACTCCATGGCCATCTGTTTGAGTACAGTGTTCTCGTGCCTTTGCTTGCCAGCATTACACCTTGTGCAACAATCTTGCTTCTGTAGGTGTTTCTAAATCCAGGTGGTCAGAGAAGTTAAAGCCTGCGACGTCCCCAAGTAGTGAAGGTTTGCAGAAATCTGGAGTAGCACCACAGCTCTGTGCAAGTGAGATTTTGGCTAATTATGGTCCTTATGTTCAATATTTGTCATGGAACCTACTGAGCAGGGGCTTCTCTGTGGAGGAATGGGCTGTGCGGAGGAGTGGGATGATCAGTATGATCAGTATTCCATGTTTCCTTCAGACGCACAAATGAGGATTTTATGGGCTCTAATGGATGCTAATTGGCCCGTAAATAGGATGGAATGAAACACGTCTCCTTGAATAACTTCTGTCTGCTTCTGCTTGTGTTGAGCAGTGCAAACCTCGCCTTGTTTTGCAGTCTGTTTGCTGAATGATGAGAGTATTTCTATCAGATTGCCAGTAGAATTTGCCTAGCATGCTTTCTGAGATGTAATCAAAGTCATCAGATAGATTTTACTCTCATCTGCTTCTACTGCATGAACTATGCCAAGAGTTCAACAGGTGGTACTTCCTAAGGTGCTGCAAGTGTGTAATCCCAATGGTGATACTCACATGAGCATCGAAGGATTTGCAGAGCCGAGGTTCAGAGTTTGCTCCTATTGAGAATAACCTGAAAAAAACCCTTTGTGCTGCAAAGGAAGCATGGAGGTGTTGGCTGCAGAGTGGGAAAAGGCCATCTGGTAACCACTGAGATGAGCTCCCTGAAACTGGAGAACAATTGATCTGAAACTGATAGCAGTGGGCTCAGAGTCATTTCTCCTTTCTGCTTTGCTTCCTTTGTGCCACCCTGCGAGGGCACTGCGAGGTTCCCACAAGGATCAGTCTGCTTTCCCTGCTTTTCCCTTAGCTCAGTGTTTTTTGCAGTGGGTTTTTTGCCTTTTGTTGAGAGGTGAATACACATCTTAACAAACTGCAGGTACATGTAAGGGAGCCAGGTGGCCGGTGTTGCTGTATGGGGCTTTAAAATGTTTGTAAGCTGTACCCTCCCTTTAAAAACACAACACAACATTTGTCTTGTCACCCTTTCCCTCCATGTAAACACCCTGTTTAATAACAGAGGTTATACTCAGTTACTTCTTTGCTCCTTAGGGAGCCATGGGCTTCTTAAGAGAGAGATTACAATCTCTGCTGCTAATCTGCACTTAAAGTGCAGACTCTTCAGCTCACGGGATGTTTCAGGCCTGGGGATGCTGGATGCTGCTCATCGCCCAGCCCTCCCAACCTATTTAAGCCATTATTCTCACCTGGGGGAATTACTTTACATTTTTTTAAGCTTTCTAGTAGTAAAAACCTACAATGATGTGTGCAGAACATGAACTGAAAGGGAAAGTTAATTAACGAACGTTTAGCACCTCATTTATTTTATGTCTCCTTAAGTCTTCCCCCATTAAATACCCCATGAGAAACTCAAACTGCAATCTCTTTTGCACTTCGCTGCTCTTATGGTCGTTTGCACTCCACCGGACTCATTCCCTCAGGTAACCCCACAGCAAGTCCCATCACACACCACTTCTGTCTGCTGGAACTGGGGAGGCACCGCTCTGTGTGCCCAGAACCTTTTGTGGGCACACAGGGGAGGAAAGCAGCCAGAGGCACAGTGCATTTCTGCAGGACATAAGATGTACAATAAGCTGTAACCAAAGGCTCCGAATGTATTTTTGGCATAAATAGACCGAATGTATTTTGAATGTAGCTACAACATTTGTGTCTAAATCTGCTGTGGTTCTTTCAGTCCCCAAAGAGAAATGCGTCGCGTTTTGTCAACCTCAAAACCAGCTTGAGTTGTCTGTTCTATACAGAAGCATTCATACTTTATCTGGAAGTGCTGCAATACTTTAGAACTTAGAGATGAAATTCAATCTGCACCTTGTGAGATACCCAATCTTGTGTACGTTGCAGCAAGTTCTTAAAACTGTTGCTAAAGTTGCTGCTGGATGTAAATAATTAGTTGAGATGCTGTATTTTGTACGCGTATTTTACAGACCAATATACTCTCGGAAAGGTTGGGAAGATTTTAATAAACTGAGCACACTCTGCCTTTGTGTCGCCGTGATGTGCAGAGCTCTGTTTGTTGTCTGTGCTGGGAGGGCAGCGGGGAGGGCTGAGGCAGCCACAGGCAGCCCTGGGGCTGTGTGCCCAAAGGAGAGAAGGCTGAGGGCTCTGAGCAGCTCTGACCCACAGCTGAAGGGCAGGGGATGGGGCCGGGCTCTGTTGTGCAGCGCCCAGCACCAGGACAAGGGCACACCGGAGCCCAGGAAAGTCCGTGAGGGAGAACTCCTGTGCTGTGCAGGTGGCAGAGCCCTGGCCAGAGAGTCATAACCTGGGACTTTAAGTTGGGCTATGCTCAATTTAAAGATATGCTGGTGCAAAGTCCTGCGCTACAAAGCCATGTTGAGGTGCTCACGACTGTTGCAGAATGCTGTAGGCTTCTCTTGTTCTCTTGCAGTCAGCACCGTGTAACTGGCTGTTGCTTGTGAGTTCTGTCCTTCTGCAGGTGCTGCAGGGAGCTCAGGTAAGTGTTCTGCTGTGCTTTGGAAGCAGTCTGCCTCAGGGATGCTCTGGCTGTGGGCACAGTGCTGCTAGGAGGTGCATGCTTTGAGGCCAGCAGCAGCTGCATGGGGCTCACCAGCACTTGCTGCTCCCCTTGGAGAGCCCAACGCCTGCTGGCACATCAGTAGGATGTTGGGAGGTGGAGGTGCTCAGGGACACTCAGTACTCTTTGGGTCCAGAGGAGCCCAGGCTGATGCTCTGTGTGCTTGTGTCCAGGCCAGCCAACTGTGCTGCAGTCACCACTGCACACTGGTGCCAGCTCTGTGCTCCCCGGGTACAGGGCCATGTGCTGCTGAGAACGGATGTCTCCCTCCTTCCTTCTGCCTGGTAAGGAGTGTGGGCATGGCCATGGATCTGGGAGGTAGGGAACCACGGTGGCACGTGGCACAGTCTGCTCCTGTGGGCATTCCCACCACTTCCCGAGCATTCCAGAGCTCAGTTAGTGCTGAGCCTGGCACTGGGCCATGCTGGGATGCTAACTGCTGTTCTTTTCCATTCAGCTCCCCTTGGAGATCTGCAGCTGGTGTCTCAGTCACAGCAATCTGAACGCAGAGCAGTGGTAAACCCGACATTGCCTGTGGTATGTAAAGGCTTTGATTTGTAATGGCAAGTGCTGTTGCAGCTTGAAGATGTCAATGGCGGTTCTGGGAGGCCTGGAGGGCAGTGTGCACCCCTGTGTTATTGTGTGTATGGAGCGTGCATGTGGAAGGAGCACTGTGTGCCATAGTGCCTGCTGAGCTCCCACAGGCAGTAGCTGCAGTGTTGGGCTTACAGCCATGGGGTAGCATGGGTCTGCTTGCAAACAGCTGGGGTTCTTTCCTGGGCCAGAACAGGCTGTGGGAATTCAGGATGTACATGAGTGCAGGAGAAACCACACGGACAGTCCATAAAGAAATTAAAGGGAGGAAAAACGCAAAACACCCAGATAACCAAAGGCCAAACCATCCCCCGACAGTGGGCTGCAGCGTTTTCCTCTCTCATTGCATCCCATTGCATCTTTGCTACTCAGTAGCAGAAATTGAAAGATACTGTTTCTTTTGTTGTTTGCTTGTTTTTGGTTTCTTTCCCCTTGAAATATCTTTGTAGCGTTTTTCTCCACAAACAGCCTTCCAAAACTTAGCAGGGGGCTTAAAGTGAGCTTGCAATTGTTTCATAAACCAATGTTCCAGAGACGTTCTGCCAGCACGGTTCTTCTGCACCGCGCACCCTTAGTGCAGAGCTCCTGAGGGATGGGGGCCCTGTGCGGGGCGGCACGGCTGGCAGCTCGAGGGAAGGAAGGACGGCTGCAGCCCGCAGGAAAGCCTGCTCAAGCCGCTGAGCTCCGGCCGTGTCTGCTGCAGCTCCGGGTGCCTCCAGAGGTAGAGCAGCGCAGTCCTGTTCCGTAGCGCTGACAAACGTGCAGCAGCTCTCTTTGCTGTTCAGAAATTGGTTTCCAGTGGAGCAGGAAGTCACTGCGGGGTAACAGTACGTGCGCTGACTTCTCGGGCCCTCTCGTGGACGAACAGATCGCTGCAGCTGCGGCTGCTCGGCGCTGCGTGGCAGGGAGCGGCGGTGCGGGCTGAGGAGGCTGCCGGGATCTGGGGAAGCTGCCGGGATGTCGGAAAGCAGCGCGGCAGCAGCCGCAGCTCCGGGCCCCGCCGGGGGCTCAGCGCCCCATGTCCTGCTCCTGGAACACGGCAGGGAGGGCTCCAGTGAAACCCATTCTCAGATACTGAAACCACTGGCACAGGTTGCCCAAGGAGGCTGTGGATGCCCCATCCCTGCAGGCATTCAAGGCCAGGCTGGATGTGGCTCTGGGCAGCCTGGGCTGCTGGTTGGTGACCTGCACACAGCAGGGGGTTGGAACTGGGTGAGCATTGTGGGCTTTTGCAACTCAGGCCATTCTGTGATTCTGTGATACTGAACAATGCACAGTGCAAAGCCATCATGAAGTCCTGACGTGCTCATATGTTTATGGCAGTGAGATACAGTCAGATGGAGCAAATCATGCAGATACTTCATGCACTTCTGGATTGCTGAAAGTGCATCCATTGTGAAACACCTTTCTGATTTCATTGGGAAGTTCAGTGAGAGCTAGTGGAAACCTACTGGCTGTGCTCATGATCATCATCATACACTTTGCAACTGTTCAAAAATTTCATGTCAAATCGTGGCAGCTGAGGTGAGGAATGTAACACTTCTGGACAATTTCAACCCTCAGCATGGGGACTGTTGTTGAAGATATCTTGAAAATGAGCCCTGTTTTATGAAAATCTTTATGATTGGTTAGGAAGTGGAGAGGAGCCCGTGAGACAGCTCAGCAGGGCAGAGGCACAGGGGCTGATGCATGTTTGGGTTTGCAGACCGTTGTTCTGAGTCATTGCACGGCTTGCCAGCTGCTTGTCAAGTGGAAAATCTGGTAGCACAAAGGACGAGTAGATAAACAAAATGGCTTTTGTGGCTTTTCTGTATGTATGTACAAGTGCAAAAATACAAAGCCTTCTAAAAATACCGAGAGGCTCTTTGGAATGGTGCAGCACAGGGATGTGCTCTGGGCGGCGATGCGATACTGCCTGTCCTGTCTGTCCTGGTCCCCAGCATGATGTGACCACAGTGGGCTGCCCTGCCTGCTCTGCCCTGGGCCACTGGGTGCCACGTTGGGTCTGGCCATGCTGTGATGGCCATGTGGGCATGTGTGTGTGTCCGTGTCCCCATGGAGAGGGCGATGGGGCCGATGATGTGGTTCCCACAGAGCCCTGATCTATTTAATTTCTCTTCGCAGAAGATTTAATTTCTCTTCTCAGCTTGTTTGCAGATGTGTCACTCGGTTTCAGAAACTAGAAGAGGGTTGCCTGAGGAACTGAAATGCACTTTGTTTTCAGAGCTACTCAGTGTGGTGATGGTGGGCAGGAAAAGAGGAAGAGGCTTTGAGTCACCGCATCCCCGCATTACTCAGCCTGCTCTGGGCACTGCTGTCATCTCTGAGGTACATCTCTGAAAAGAAGGAAGAGCTTTCCTCCCATCTGCTTTCCTTCTCCTCTTTCCTTCCTCCCTTTCCTTCTTTGTACATACCCATCAAACATAAAGAAGTTTCCATGGCCATATTTTAAATTGGATATATTTAATAGTACTAATGGTAACTCAGCTGTTGGCTGAAAAAAGAAATGACATTCCTCAGGATCCCCAGTGAGATACAGACAGGCAACGTCCCTCACAAGATGTCCAGTGTCAGGTGGGGGATAATCCCTGAGACATTACAGATCATTCCTATCAAGGCATTGGGATTTATACAAGGGAAAAATAAAAATCCCTTTGTTTACTGTTGTATCCCAAAGTTCTGTCTGCTTGTTCTAAAAAGTGGGATACACTGTTTATCTGCCTCCTGTATTACCTACATCAGCTGCAAAATCTGGGTTATATCCATCCTTTGATAGCCTGGATTTGTGGTGCCAGGAAACAAGTGCTGCAGTGTGCTGATAGCCTCAGCTCTGGGGGCTGACCTGAAAGCCCCCCCCCAAGACCAGGATATGGGCACCACTGAGCTGCAGAAGCCAGGCATTTATTCCAGGAGGCCAAGGTGGGAGATGGCTGCACACCTCATGGTCAGGAAACACCTTCAGTGCCCCACTGTCCTTCCCTGTCAGCTCAGGGCCGTGAGCCAGGTCTGCTTGGATTGCAGAACTGGGCTGCTTGGCTCCTTCTTTAAGTCATTTTTGACTTCCTTTCTAGCCCTGAATGGTTTTGAAGACTGCTATAGCAACATAGCATTTTTTGATTTGCTATCCTTCTTAAGAAGTAATTTGCGTCGTAGAATGGCTTGAGTTGGCAGGGACCTCAAAGACCATCTAGTTCCAACCCCCTCACCGTGGGCAGGGCTGCCAGACCATGGATCAGCCTGCCCAGAAACCCGTCCAGCCAGAGATGGGGCATGAACAACCTTTCTGGGCAGCAGTGCCAGTGCCTTAAAACCCTGAGTGAACAATTTCTTCGTAGCACCTGAAACCTCCACTCTTTCAGTTTAAATCCATCCTCCCTTGTCCTACCACTATGTAGCTGAGCAATCCCACCTCTTTCAACCTTTCATCACAGGAGAGGTGCTCCAGATCCCTCTGATCGTCTTCGTGGCCCAGACATCGCTCCAGAAATTATTTGGAATTCGATGTGAAAGAAGAAGGTAAGATGAGGCAACACAAGATGAAAAAATAAAAGGAAACCTTAACCAAAAGGTGAGTCCAGGGAGAGTGAAATGTGCGTGCAGGCATTCTGGGGGTTGCTTGGCTGGCCATGGAGGAGGCCCCGGGGGGTGAAGCTGCCTGTGCCTGGTGCTGCACTGGGAGCAGCCAGCGGTGATCTCATGCTGTGACCGGTGTGTGCTGAGCTCTGTGCAGGGTGAAAGCCATGGCAGCTCCTCCCCGTGTGCTGACATGGCAAGGGGCTGCCAAACGAAGGGAGGAAAGCTAGCGCGCTCTTGCAGAGATGTGATTTAAATCAGCTGTGCTAGAAGGAAAAGCAAAACAAAAAACACTGCCGAAAATCGCTGTGCTAGTAGATGGATTTTGCTTATCTCTTAGTCTGGATGGCCCATCCCACTGCACTCATGGTTTTACTTATCCGGTGTTTCTGCTCAGATCCTGGTTGGATTTACAGTGCTCCGCAGTCCAAAAATGGCCTTGTTTCCAGTATAAGAGCAGGCATAGGTTTCTTTAAATTATATGTATTTTAAGAGCTCATACTGCTTATTTCACAGACCTTAAAAACCTCCCTGTTCTGTGTGTGTGAATGCTCTGAGCCACAGCCAGACATCCAGCCGTGTCCAGAAGCATAGCAACCACACAGTGCAGGAGATGCTGTGCCAGCCTGTGCTGCACCTCTGCAGGAGGGAGAAAGCAAAGCAGCGCCAGTTCTGTCACAGTTACGGGTCCTCCCAGATGTGCTTTCAAAGAAAGGAGCCCCGTGTGACTTCATTTTAAAGTGACCACACTGCACTGTGCCCAGGGCCCAGGCACTGTCCCAGCTGGCTGCAGGTGGCAGTGCTGCCGTGTGGGCACCTGTTGTGGCATCATCCTGAGGGCACGTGGAGTGGGCATATCCCCATCACCCCGGCCCTCCTCACTGCACTCACACTGCCATTGCTCACAGCCTGATCTGCTGGGTGAGTCACTGCTCTGCACCAGTGCTCAGCTAATGGTATTGCAGAGCGAGGGCAGAGCGCTGGTTTCAGCTCCTACTTTCAGGCCGTGGCCTTTAGTTTTTGCTTCCCTCCCTGTGGCTGGAAAATCATGCACTGATGTTGCTGTTCCAAAGAAAGCATTACTTTCCTGCCTTTGCCAAAAGGAAATCTGAGCAAAGCAAGGGAGGCCGAGCAAGTGAAAGAATGAACAGGCTGAGCTCGGGCAAGTGTCTAAAGCAAACAGTTCTTTAAGGACACGTTATTACAGCAAGTGGGATCTGTGCAGTAAGAATCGTTGTTGTGTGCAGGGTCGGAAAAATTAAGCAGATTTCTGCAGCTGCCAAGCCTAATTCTTAGCTCCCGCATGAGCACAAACACGGAGCAGCCCTGGTGAGCTGCAAGAAGAGATTTATGTAATGTGCACCTAAACCACAAGTCACATGGCCCGCTTTCCGTTTTCATACTTTCTGATCGCTCAGAGAGGAGAAGTGTACCCAAAGTGCCGCGCTTTGCCATGCTGCACTGAGCACTGCCCTTCAGCGCCATGTCCCTGCGGCGGCTCGCCCAGCACAGCCAGCGCGCGGGCAGCGGGGATCGGGGCGTGCAGATGGACAGCAGGCGGCTGCAGCAGCTGGTCAGCACGGTGGGGACGCTGCCGAGGAGCCGCAAGCAGGTAGGGCACCTCCAGCCTGCAGGGCACCGCGGGTGGAGAGTGAGTTTGGGTGGCGATGGGCTCCTTCCAGCAGCTGTTGTGTGGGAGCACTGCCAAGGGGAGGTGCGGGAGAGACTGCGGGACTGCCGGCGGTCAGCAGAGCTCCTGCAGCTGGGATCCTGCCCCACTGCAGCTCTTCGTTCCAGGTGTGCTGCGAGGCACAGGGGAGCATCCTGCTGCCTGGTGTTCCCTTAAATTTGGGCGTGCTTCAGCACGGTGGTCAGGCTGGGCTTTGTTCTGCATCCTTGGCAGGAAGCATCTATCATGGGTTGTTTCCTTCCAAACTTTGGGCTGTTTTATTACAACTATTGTAGCTACTTTGGCTGTCCCTGTCGCTGTGCTTTTTGTACAATCAATCACAGAACCGCAGCACGGTTGAAAGGAACCCCTCAGCCCCAGCCCTGCCGTGGGCTGGCTGCCTCCCAGCTCAGGCTGCCCAGCACCCATCCACAGCCTGGGGCATCTCCAGGGATGGGGCACCTCAGCTCTGGGCAGTGCCACGGCCTCACTGCCCTCTGAGTAAGGAATTTCCTCCTCGTATCTGACCTAAATCTCCTCTTCTAGTTCAAAAACACTTGTCCTGTCACCATATGCCCAGGTACAAAGTCAGTCTCCCTCCTGTTTATAAGCTCCCTTTTCATGCGGAACAGCAAATTTCTGTTGTTTGCAACAGGAGGTGAACAAAACTGCCTGTTGCTACTGCTGTAAATTGCCAGCTGAGCAATTGTAGCTCACCTTTTTGTCTTGTGTGAATAAGCCTGAATTGAAAGTGCTTGAAATGCATTATAATCTTGAAGTGTTATCAGAAAGCTGGCACATAATGTCCAAGCACTGAAGGCTCTGCTTTGTGCAGCAACAGAAGCACATTCCTCCCATACAATCCTGGGGATGTAAAAGACAGCCAGAAGCAGACAAGCTCTGGGCACGCTGCATTGATGCAGCCACCAGCAGCAGTGATAGAGCAGCACTTTGTGGTTCTGCTGCAGATAAATGAGCAATAATGGCCGTGATGTGTCTGTGGGTGTTAACAAAGAATTCCAAGTGTGTTACTGCATGGCACCCCTTGCTCCCCCCTGCTTCTCTCTCCAGTTGAACACAGGTTCATAAAATGGAGGTTGTGTTGGTGGTTGCACATTGGCCTGGCTTTGCAGTATTGAAGCCTAGGACTTTTAGTATATTGACTGTACAATTTAGTGGTAATGTAATTCCTTATTTTTGGCTCATGTTTATGGAAAGCGTGGATGTTTAAATGCTGATCCTGGCTTTTCTCAGGCCTCTGTAGGCACAAGGCTGCCTAGACCAAAGCAGGGATGCTGGGTGCTTGTTGCCATGGCCATGCGTCAGCTTGGAAACACTATTTGGCCATCACTGCTAGCTGCTGAGAGCTGCCTGCAGCTTTGTGGTGTGTGTATGTGTGTGTGTCTGTTTTCTGCCTTTTTTGATGGGTGTTGAAGTTATAAATACCTACAGATTTTTTAGGGGAAAGGTGTGAAAGCAAATTGAGGTCTCAGCATAACAAAAGTGTGATTTGGGTACAGTATAGGTGATACTTACAGTGTTAGTGGAAATCCCTGGCTTATACAGTTTTGCAGCCTCCTTGCCTTAGTGCTGAATGCAGATGTGCAGCAGGAGGTCCTCCTTTGATGCCCTACAGAACGCAGCATTCCTCTTCAGCAGCTATGCCTTTTGTCCCCCCAATTTCTGCCCTCCTGAGAAGCTGCACCTCCAGCAGTTTGTGTGAAGAGTTCCCTACTCCAGGCACTGTTCCCAGCAGATTTTTTTCTGGGGTTTCGTCACTATTTTTTCTCTTGCACTCACTGATGTGAGCACAGCAGCCCCTCCTGCCTCAAACTCCTGCGGTGTGTGCTGTTGTGTTCCCCAGCCACGTCCTGCCGTTCTCACCTCTTCCTTGGGAGCGATGCCTGAGAGCTGACAGCCGGTTGGCAGAGGTCACATTGTCACCCCTGCACAAAATGTTATCAGCAGGTATTGGCTGGTGGTGACTCAGCTCCCCATTCTTAGCTCACTGCAGGCAGGCCGGGACAGCAGAAAGCTGTTGGGCAGTGATGCTTTCACTTCGGGTTGGGACAGGCAGTGCAGCGCAGTCCCCCGGGGAGAAACATCCCTTGATGTTTTCTGGGTGTCAACAACTGGATCAAGAGCTAAGAGCAGCCATGATTTTGCTTTTTCTCTGTGGTGTTCCTATCTTGGTAGTGATGAATATCGTGTTTAAAAGATTTGGAATAATGCTATATTTGAGGGACTGATTTCCAACCTAACAGCAGCACAGTGGCATTCCTCCAGCAGCAGGCCGCAGGGAGCCCTGAGGAGCTGTGACCCCACTGACCCTTTTCCTTTCCCCTTTCTGCTTGCAGCTCCCTCTGACCAGATCCAGCTCCCTGGGGGACTGCTCCCAGCCGCAGAGGTACGGTGATGCCCTGCCAGCTGTGCTCACGCAGTGCAGCCCTGGGTGGGATGGACTCATGGGGGAAGCAGCGTGAAGGGGCTCAGGAATGGGGTCATAGAAAGATAAGGTGTCCCAGTTGGAGGGGACCCACAAGGAGCAGTGAGCCCCGCACAGCCCCACTTGAACCCAAAGTCTGAGGTTGGTGTCCCAGCTCTCCCTGAGCTGCAGCAGCTCGGGGCTGTGCCTGCTGTCCTGGGAGCTGTGCTGTGCCCACTGCCCTCTGCAGCACAGCCTTTCCCCGCTGTACAACCTGGGTAATCCTGAGTGCTTTTCTTGCAGACACTTCATTTCTATATTCAAAGAAGATAAAGAGACATTTGGCTTTGAAATCCAGGTAAGACTTATGCGACAAATTGATTCATTTAAAGATAAAATACTGTGTGAAATCTTCAGCATCACATCCTCCAAACTAGATTAACAAGGGATGGGGTAGAGAAAGACACCTGTGAGTCCTTTGTGAAACTGGAGTGCTTAAGAAGCACCACAGAAATGGGATGTGCTTCTGAGGAGTTCTCATAGGTCACAGGTGAGAGCCTGGTCCATGGCAAGTTGGAGTGCTGACCATAGGAGACAGCTCAGATACGAAGCGGACAATGGGAACGCCTTCTTTCCTCCTTAGGCTATCATGTTTTCAGAGAATGCCACATGGAAATATTTTTATATAAAAGAGAGAGATCAAAATCCTCTCCTTCTCCTAGAAATCCCTTGTGCCTGCTGTATGAAATGACCTGGCACTGCCATGCACAGAGGGACGTGCTAGCTTTGGTGAAAGGAGTGCTATGGGAAAGCCCAACTTATTCAGAGTTGATTCTGTGACTCATGGTTGTGTAAGTGCTCGGCTCAGGAACACTTTCAGAGAGCTTTCAGAAGGGAAAATAATTGAGTCCATTATCGGGCTTTTGTACAAATTGCCAGGGCAGATTTTCATTATATGTGACATTCTGATTAAAAATAATTGTTCTTGGCGTGTTTCTTCCTGAACGTACATTCAGTGTGAGCATTTCACTAGAAAGTCCAGGCTGCGAAATGACAGCGTCAGTTTGGTACCAAGCATAAGGCATTATTTAGAAGTTGCAGTTTCATTATTGCTACAATTTGATCGTAGGCAAACCAGAATACGAGGATGTGAAATTCTGGGTCTGCCATCTGCAAGGAGCTCCTCAGAGCTACAGCCATGGCGGAACGCAGGGTCTCTTGTGTGCTGCTTGTGCTGGTACTTCCCACTTATTAAGTGGATTCTGGTGGTGACATGGACTCGGTGTGCCTCTGTCTGTGCCCAGATGTTTGCACGTCAGCTGCTTTGAGTCACATCTTTCCCAGCACTGTGGCCACCTAAAGCCCAGTTATCCACCCAAAGTAACGGCCCGGCTTCTTCTGCGGTCTGTGAAGAGAGGGAGGTGTGTGGTGAGGGGATCCCATCCTCCTGGTCAGAAATAGGGCTTTTAGGGCCACCAGTCACTCACTGGGGACGTCTGCCTCTCTGGGTGGCTCTGGCAGGGATGCTGAGCTGGTGAACAGACGTCTAGCTAGGCATGGTGAATCTCATCCTGCTTCTCTGGGACACTCAACGAGGTCCAAACAGAAGGACAGGCATGTCCTACTGCCTCAATTATGCAGATTCCTTCAGAATCCTCAGCACAGAATCACAGAATGGCCCAGGTTGGAAGGGACCTCAAGGATCATGAAGCTCCAACCCCCCTACTACAGGCAGGGCCACCAGCCTCCCCATTTTATAGACCAGGCTGCCCAGGGCCCCATCCAACCTGGCCTTTAACACCTCCAGGGATGGACGGGGCATCACATAATTTGGTGTTCTTAGTTTAGCTGAAAGTTTTGCTGATAGTTTTAAGGCTGAAATCACCATATTGTTGTGATTTGCTCTAATAAACTCTGAACTCGTGATAGAATTCATCTCTGTTCAGTGTTGACTGAGGAATTTGGGAATCTATCATGACGTATGTAAGGTAGGTTTGACTGCCGTAGGTTTTCAGGAACTTCAGTTTCAGTCTTAAACAGCCTCTTGGCAGAGGATGTGGCTGAATACTGATATTTGCATGCAACCCAAAATACATTTCCTGCCAACACAGGATGCTCTGGTCGTATCTCTCAGTTTAGCATTTTTCTAAATGAATGTCAGAGTTGATAACAGGACGATGGATTCTACCAAGAGTTATGATAATACAACCTGCTCAACACAGCCTCTCATTTTAAAAAAGAGTGTGAAATGAAAATAGATCACGACAGTATTTCAAATATTACTTGTAGTCATGTCTTCAATATCAGCAGCACTTTTTCTTTGCTATTTACAGACTATTAGATTTCCAAACCAAACCGATTACTCCTTGGAGGTATGCACTTGCGTCTGCAAAATTCAAGAGGAAAGTCCTGCCCATGTTTCTGGCCTTCAGATTGGTAATGACTTGCTTTTTTCCTATCTGCGGGTGGCCCTAGTTGCTTTTCTCCATGTTAGTTCTGTTTTAGAGAGTGTGGTAGGGATGTGTGTGCTGAAGATGCTCATTGCAGCTTCTTATCTCTACAGGTGATATTCTTGCCAACGTCAATGGAGTGAACACCGATGGTTTTAGTCACAAGCAAATTGTAGACTTGATAAAGTCTTCAGGGAACTATTTAAGGTAGGCATCTGCCCTTCACAGTGCTTTGAGTTTGACGTGGTCCTGCTGGAAACCGTGAAACTTTCTTGTGCTAAGCAGCAGTGCCACACTCACAGACACACAGCACTGTGATGTGCATCTCTTGCCCATGCTGTGACTTTGCTCATCCCACAGCAGCAGCTGAATCCATCCGTGGAGGGGAGTTGATGGCACATTAGGGCACCCTCCGTCCCGTGTGCATCCCCTCCCTAAGGACCCCATGGCCCCATGTGCTGCTGTAGGGCACCACCCCCCATGCTGGTACCCAAAGCCCCTCTTCTTTCCAGGCTGGAGACCGTCAACGGGGCCCTGTTCCTGAGGAAGATGGAGCTGGAGAACAAGCTGCAGCTGCTGAAGGTAACGCGGTGAACCACTGTGCTGCTGTGAAGAGCAGAGTGCTGCCGTGGGTCTGCTGTTTGTGGGAGCAGCCATGGGGTGCAGTGGGGGCTGGGGAGCCGTGTGCCCCCAGTGCTGCTGCTGGCAGCCCCACTGCCTCCCTGGTGGATGCTGTTGGGGCCGGGTGCCAGTGCTGTGTGTGGGGGTGATGTCAGCACCACCTCACTGAGCGCACTGCGGCGTCGCTCCGGCTGCAGCACCAGCCTGCACATGAGGCTGCCATGCCACAATCACGGGGCCCTGGCTCCCCATCACATCCTGAGGACCCACATGTCTCCAACTCTGGGGCTGCAAAGCATCTTTGTGAGCCCCTGGGCATTTTTTGAAAGCATCCAAGTTCTCGTCCTGCCACGGGTGCTGAGCTTCTCCAGCTTTTTTGCTGCCTGATGCAGGGAAGAAATAATGCTGACTGCATGTCATAGGCTTGTTTTCCATTAGGTCAAATGATGAAAAAAATAATTAAGAAATCATTTTGATAATTTTGACCTCTTAAGATAACTTTGGCCTCTTCTTAAACTTGGTCAGAGTGAGAATTGATGAGTGCTGTAAGTGAACAGTAAGCTGGGCCAGCATTTGGGGAATGTATGACGTGTAGACACTTTGGAGTATTCTTTACCTGATGGAGAGTTTTTCCTTATGGCAGCAATGAACCAAGGCCCTCCCTGAAGGAATTGCTTCTAACTGGACACTGATCTGGCTAGAATAAATCTCATGATAAATGTTCAGGCTTGCCAGGACTTTGCAGCAGGGATAGGATTTGCCATCTGGGAACAACGCCTGTGTGAGCAGTGCTGTGGCTGCCCCTCCCCATATGGTTCAGAGAACTCAGGAAGACAGAAGCTGCTATGAAACACTCAGCTTTCAGATAGCAGTGGTTTCCCAAAAGTGCCAAGCCTCTGCAAGGAGAGCTTTCACTGTTGTGTGAAGTCGGGTGTGGGCCTGGCCCTGTGTGTCCGCACTCCTACCTGATGCATGGCACAGGGCTGTGCCCAGCATCAGTGCCGTGTCACCATGCCATGCCACAGAGCACCAGGCAGGCTGCCAGTGGGATGGGAGAAAACACCCTGCTGTGTGGCTGTGCTGTTGGCTGGGGCTGAGGGATGGCAAACAGCCCCAGGACAAGGGCTGCTGCCGTTCTGGTGCCTTACGCCAAAGCTGTGGTGTTTTGATTGGTGTTGCTGGAATGTGGAGCACAGAAAAATGTGCAAGGAACAGCAATACTGTCCACGCAAGCTCTGCCTGGGCCCTTTGCATGGATAGCCATGTAACTTGCCAGACTGCCCTGTTGTGTGCTCATGCAGGTTGCCAAGGAAGTGTGCGGTGTTTTCCTGTGGACCCAGCAGGCACTCACTTGGCAGCTTCTCAACCAGTGCAGCAGTTATTTGTTAGATCAGTGGCTGACCTGCAACAGAGGAAATAACATAATGCTGCTCGCTGGTAGGGTGGGATGTCAGCACGTCAGCAGTGGCTCAGTGAAAGGCCATCTGAGTACAGCTGCCTGCATTCCAGATTTCAGCCTTCTGCTTTTGCACATTTCACGCAGACAGTGCCTCAGCCAAAGCACTTTGCTCAGGGAAGCTGGAGGAGGCTTGCTGAGCCCCAGGAATGCTGTGTTGTGCAGAAAGAGGGCACACCTCCGCATCCTGTAGGCAGAGTGCTCTCTGGGAACCTGCTTTGTTTGAAGTGTTTTGTAACTTTGTGAAAGTGTGAATGACAGTCAGCTCTTTTAATCCTTCACAGCAAACTCTGCAGCAGAAGTGGGTGGAGTTGCGCTCCCTGCACTTACAGGAACAGCGTTTGCTGCATGGTGAGTCTCCGCTTCCGGGTGGGAAACCGCAGCGCTGCTCAGACCTCCAGGGGAAGCTGGGGCTGAGCAGCACCAGGCACTCCTCTAACCTGGTTTCCATCTGCTTTCTTTTTTTCCTTCCTAATGACCGCGGGGGAAGCTTTTTATCAGTGTCTGAAGAATTTGGGCGCTGGGCTGATGTATGAGTTCTAGGAGAGGAGTTCATGTGGAAAGCTTCTTTTCTGTTCTCTGTTTTCAATTGGACTTTGCTTCTGCGTTTTGGGGCAAGGCAGCAGTAGAGAGTCCCGTATAGCTGGAAACGTGGGATGAGATATGGTGTGGGTAAGATACTGCCCAGCCCCACGGTGGGATGGAAGGGCAGGAGGCTGGGCCAGAACGAAGGCCCAGCTGGTGGCCCTGGCTGGGCGGAGAAGAGGAGCGGGGCTGACCGCCCTGCACAGATCTAGGCAGCTCTGCAGAGCTGTAGGCTGCGTCTGCTTGCAGGAGCTCGCTGATGCTGTTGAATAACACTCCTTCTTGACCTCTGCTTCCAGGAGAGGTGAATGACAACGCTCTGCTGGAGCTGGAAGAGGCCAACTTATCTGAGGGCTGTATGCCAAGACCACTCTCTCTGACCAAGACCCGATTCTCCAGTGAGAGCAGCTCCCGGAGCCGCCTGAGCTCCATGACTCTGGACAGCGAGGACAGCTTCTACCAGAGCGGTGCCTTCGACGACTCTGCAGCAGAGAGCCTGAGCCGCCAGTCCAGCATGGACGATGACTGCTTCCTACCGAGGGATGGCGATGGCACGGCCGGGAGGTGCTCCCTGCGCAGGCACCGCAGCATCAGCCTGGCCAGCAGCGGCTCCATGTCCCCGCTGTGGGAGAGCGGCGGCAGCTCCAGCAGCTTCGGGACGCTCCCGAGGAAGAGCAGGAGATCGAGCGTTCGAAAGCAGCTCCTGAAATTCATTCCAGGTCTTCACCGGGCGCTGGAGGAGGAGGAAAGCCGGGTGTGACCCTGCATTCCCCAGGGCCAGGAGGAGCAGCATGAGGCTGCATTTGTTCCTTACCCACACGGCCTTACAGCAGGACTGATGGTATTTAAAATGCTCTGATTTATTAATTATTTTAATTTTTAATCGGAGTGAATCGTGGACTTCTTCATTAACATAAAAAATGACTAGCTCCAAGACGTGAAGAACTGTGAGCGACTCCCTCAGCATATTTAGTGTTAATGATGGGTTTTAATCAAGTGCAAATTTTCTAACTATTTATTTTCTGTTACCGAAGTCAATCTTCAGAGATCTTCAATAAAGCAAGAGCTTCTACTAAGCTGGTGATTAGGAGCAGGGCAGAGCCCAGACCTCGTCCAGGGGTAGGTCCCAGAGGTGATGCTGGGATGGACAGTGCTGCTGCTCGGGGGCACAGCTCAGCTGAACCTCCCTTACTGCAGGGGATGTGCAGCACGAATGTCCTGGGTCATGCAGCAGAGCCCCACGCCCAGCCTGTGCTGCAGAGCTGCACGCTGCTGATGGAGGAGAGCTGCTGTGCTGCTGGCTTGTGCAGGACGGAAGGCATTGGTGCTGATACAAGAGGGATGTGCTGGGGTGGGGTGCGTGGCGGTGAGTGCAGGGTGAGTGCGATGGAGAGCAGCAGCAGTGCTGGGGCTCCCTTCCAACATTACCCATTCTGTGATTCGATCATCTGTGAGTTTGGGAGGGAGGAAAACAGGCTGGTGGCAATGCTGAGATACTGAAGGGAGAATCCCAGTGGAGTGCAGGCTATGGGAGTGCGGTGCTCTGTGACCCATGTTGTGATACAGCTTGGCAGTGTGGCAATTTGGGCCCTGCTGAAGCCATGGGACTTTTTTGTGCCATTCCAACCAGGCTTGCTAGAAGAGCATTTTCTGTCCCCAGTGACGGGTCATTTCTGTGCTAGATGTCATCACCACCACCCCTTGAGGTTGCTGTGGTCAGATTGGCTAACTGGAATTTCAGCAGGTTGGAGAAAATGCTAATCAGCATGCCATGGTCTGACTGCACCATCTGTGCTCACTGAGCTCTCAGCTCTGCATGGTGCAGAGGCAGATGTTCACCATGAGGATGAGCGAGGATGGCTGTGCTGTGGTGCAACCAACCCTGGGCAGGGTTCCCCATGGCTCTCCTCACTGGAGCTCCTTTTTAGACACAGAGGTTTCAACCCATGGTTTGTTGTCCTGAGGCGCAGCTTCCCTCTGCCAACAGAGGTGTTTGAAAGAATGGGGACAAGTAGAGGTCATTCCCAAGTGGACGCTGATGGCAGACACAGAACTGTCAGAGTGACAGCAGCCATGGGCACCGTGGCCAGCCAATCCAGTTGATTTAATGCCCAGAAGAGATCCCACATTTGAAAAGGGACATTACACTCAGTCATGCTTGTGCAGTGTAGAGAGGCAAATATTCCCATTTTGTACCCTCTGCCAAGTGACGTGCCTGATTTATTGGTGGAAAGACATCTCACTCGGCTAATTTGTTTGCTTATCCTTACTAAATGATGCCTGGGGAAGCCATACCTTCCAAGTACCTTCCAAGTCCATTTCAGTATCCAGATTAATCACCAGAAATACACAGATTGCAAATGGGCTAAGAGCCCTCTTTGATGCATAATGTTATGAAGAAACAGACTGGGAATTCCTCAGGTACCATCATTTTCACTTGTAAGTAAATATATGGTTTATTTTCAGGGCTTCCAGGAAAACAGGGGCATCTCTGCCCCCACGGCTCCCCAGAAGCATGCTTTGCATCGCCATCACACGCTCCTTGGTGCAGGCTGCGGGCTCTGGGCAGGCAGTTGCAATTGCTGCACATCCTGCTCCTCCTTTTGCATAAAAGGTGATCAAAATGCGATGTGAGCTTTGCTCCTGGGGCTGCATCTTGCTGGGAATTAATGCAGGTTTGTGGTCACAAGCAGTAACTCTTGGTGTGGGAGGGTAACTCACTGTGCTGGCTGATGTGTGCCTGCTGGTACTGTGGAGGGACCCAGCACACCCGTACAGCCAACTGGCCTAAGAAAGCCTTAAAAAGACTGTTAGGGAGGTGATGCTGTTTCTGCAGTGGTGGGAGCGAGCTCTGGTTGCTACAGCAGAATGTGTGACCACAGCGCGGTGTTCTGGCGGCCAGGAGCTGCACAGCGCATCAAAAACAGGATGTGGGCGATCACAGCTCTGCAGCGGGCTGGGGCCGGGGGGGAGGAGCACGGGCAAACTGCAGAGCCGAGGGAATGAGCGCTGTTGTGAGCGGCGCTGCTCCGCGCAAGCGGCAGCAGAAAGCGCTGAGGGCAGCCCGAGGTGTGCGAGGAGAATCACGGAACTGCAGACCATCTCGAGTTGGAAGGGACCCACAAGGAGTCCATCGAGTCCAACCCCTGGCCCCACATAGGACCACTGAAAACCGAAACCCTATGGCTGAGAGCGGTGTCCCAACGCTCCCTGAGCTCCGGCAGCGCTGGGCTGTGCTGCCCGCTGCCCTGAGGAGCTGTGCAGTGCCCACCGCCCTCTGGGGGAGAGCCATAGAACCACAGCCCGGTTGGTTCGGAAGGGACCCCAGAGCCCCCCAGTCCCTCCCCTGCTGCGGGCTGGTTGTCGCCAGCAGCTCAGGGCCCAGGTGGGATGCCTGGCCTTGGGTGGGCTTTGTGCTTGGCTCTCTCGGGCTGTACTTTCTGTAGCTGATGTTTTTTGGGTTTTTTTTTTCCCCCCAAAGCCATGGGATGTGTTCTGGCTTCTACAGGGATTATGATGGAAAACTATTTTGGCTTCGAAGTTGTGTTATCCTGCAACTGCTCTCCCCTTGCAGTCTGGAGACCTGACCCTGGAAGCCATGGGCTTACATGAGGTTTCTGCACCTTCCTGTCTCAGCCTCGGGTTTCTACCTGCCCCTGGTTCCGTTCTGCTCGGAGGCAGCTCTCATTTCAGTGGCTGATCTCCACCTGCGTTTCAGGGTCAGCTGTGCTTCTTCTGCCTTCTGTGGGTGCTTCTGCCCAGGTGAGTTCTGCTTTCACCAAGTATTTCTGTTCTGTGCAGCTGCTTTAGAGGCTACTGTGCAAAGCAGTGGAGGCAGCCAGCTCTCATGGTGCTGAGGGGGTTACGGAGTGCAGTTACCTGGGGTGCAAGTGGTGAGCACACCTTGCATATCCACAAAGCTGGGAATTGCCTTTGGTCAGTACCGTTCCATTCCAGCCACAATTCAGGTGAGACAGTCCTGGAACTTCATGCCTGCTGCACAGCCCCATTACATCCACAGTTGTGCAGCTCTGTGCCTTTCAGACCAGGCAGCATTGAGTTGCAGAGGCAGTCAAGAAGTGCCCGATGGCCTTGGCTCACGGTTCCTGGAACAAGGGCAGGAGCAGCACTGCCTTGCCCTGGCCCAAGGCTGCAGCACCCACTACAGCCGAGCTGTGTGACTGGAGCAGAAATGTGGAGGCAGGCGATGAGCTACGGAGAGCACAAGGAGCCGTGTGAGCACCTCATGGAATGGCTGCTTAGTATTGCTGAGATGGAGTTGTGGCTCTAATGAGGCTCTCCTATGTGCCTTCCTGCTGTCTTCACTCACAGTGCTACCTGCAAAATGTGAGGGGAGGGACTTCTGGAGTGGAAACGTCCCTCTTCAAAGGTCACTTGGGAAGTGGTTCAGAAGAGATTCGTGCAAGTAGAGCTATGACCACCAGGTGCTAATGGGGAATGGTGCCTCTGGGTGAGGACGGAGTGTGCCACCAATAGATGGCACCAGGCTGTGTCTCAGGGCTTCTACAGCGCCGTGGCCACCAGAGGGAAGATCTGGGGACAGGACCTGGCCACCAAGGAGCAGCGTTCAGCGAAGGGCCGTTTGGATTAGTTTGGGGCTGTGCCAATAGCTCAGAAGAACAGAAATAACCTCTCAGCTCTGCAGCCTGTGACGCACAGCTCTTGACGGCACCCGCAGCAGTTTCCCACCATTTGCACCCGTTTTTCTTGGACTCGTTTTTCCAACAAAAGATCGATGTTATGAATCAATTGCACCAACCCCACGTACAGCGCAAGTGGAAGTCGTTGAGTTACAGATGCAAACTCACAGCTGAACTAAAACAGTCACAGGGCTTTGGCTCTGCTTTTAATCGAGGTCTGACCTCAACAAGAGGATTTCCAAATCCCGGAGCCCAAAGATGTCAGAAATGTTGCATTGTACGAATACAAAAAGTTGTTCAGAGCAGGAGATTACATCCTTACGTAAACCTGGCTCTGGTCGGCAGGGCAGGGTTCAGCTGTGGTCAGGAAAGGGCCGGCTGCAGCCCTTACACGCCGTCTGGCTGGAAGGTCCGGCTGGCAGCTCCTCCACGCACATTTGTCTCACGCCTTCCCCTTCCGTATTCCTCAGGGAGCATTTCTGCAACCCAAAGGTGCCTTTCTGCGGAGCGGCCGCTGAGCATCCCCTGGGATGTGATGTCATGTCGGTGCCCTCGCTCCGTGCCGGTGGTACCAATGTGGCCCCGGCGCACCGGAGCTGCGCGGGGCAGAGCCGGAGCCGCGCTAAGCCGGTTATGGGGCTGCGACGGGGCGGTCACCCTCTGAGGATTACGGGGCGAGAACAGCCGGTGCTCCCGCTGCGGGGGAAGGCACAAAGGGCCATTGTGCGGGAAGACAAAATCTCTGTGTGTGACCGCGGCTGACACGTTAGAGCCCCGCTCTGCGCGCCAGCACAAAAGCCGCCTTGCTTCATATTGTTTGTTTATGTAAATGGCAGTGGGCATTTAACCGTGCGGCCGGGGCAGCCCGCGTGGTGGCTGAGACGCCGATTGGACCCCGCGGTGCCACGGCCAAACCCCGCGCTGTCACCGCCGGGGCTGAGCAGGGCCGGCTGCCCGCACACGCGGCCCGGTGCCGGGCGCTCAGCATGAGCGACAACGTGTCCTCGGTGCCCGGCCTGCCAGCGTGCAACGGGACCGCGGCCCCCCAGGAAGGCCTGCAGCTGGCTGACGGCATCACCGATGGCATCACCGGAGCCGTGGGGACGATGCCCTGCGTGGAGGCGGGTGCGCAGCCCGGCACTCTGCTGGCAAAAGGAAATGTGGAGGAAAGCGGGAACTCGTCGGCGGAGGATACAGCGCGTGGGGACTGTGATGGAGAGCAGCGATGCAGAGGTAATGTGCGGTGCTGCCTTTTTGTTTAGTATTTGGGCGGAAAAGATTGTTTGATGTGCAGCCTTACGAACAGCTGGATGTGTTATGTGTGCTGCTCAGAGCTCCTGAGCTGCAACTGTGGGTGTCAAGACTTGGAGTAATTGTTAGCGACAGATCTGAGCTGGTGGTTACAAAGGATGGATTGGAATGTAGGTGACCAAAGAAAAGAGCAATTTCTTAGCTCCGCTCGAAAATTCTGCTGCCAATCTGCAACAGTTAAAGCCTAATTATTGTCACTAACTGTTCCACAAGTCCAATTCTTGTCCTTTGTATTTCCCAAAGAAAAGCAAGAGGACAACATTGTGATGCTGCAGGAGGGAGCAGCTGAGCCCCAGGATACAACTGAGCCCCAGGACATGGGAGCCTGCAGGCAGGAGCTGGAGGAAGGTAATGCAGAATGCTGTGTGTGCAGAGTGCTGGAGCCTGAGCATGGCAGCAAGCAGCCTCCCAGGCAGTGTTGTGCAGAGTTTTATCACTTCCAAATTCAGCCAAAACCTCGCATTGCATTGCAGAGGACAGAGATGCATTCCTGCCCGTAGCTGCGTGTCCTCACTACCCAGACCCTTTTCCTCCCTGATTTATGAGGGCTCCAGTGTAATGTCCCAGTGTTGAGCATTCATGTGGACGCCTCTGGGCTCCTTACAGGGGCAGGGGGTGGCTGGGATGAGAGCTGGTGGCTCCAGGAATGGCTGCTGCTGTCCCATGTTGCTGCCCCCACCCGTGTGCCCAGCAGGCTGCCGTGAGCTGCTGGTTCCTATATGTCAGCTGCCACATTGATACTGAGCTCCTCATCAGAGGGGAGCAAATGAGCAGCTTGGGGTGATTGTCACAGAGCTGAGCCGTGTGAATGCAGATACAGGAGATACATGGCTGTGCCTCATGATCAGAAACTGGTGTACCTTTCCCTAAGAAAGCAAAAAATATATGAGCATCTGTCCTAAGCAAAATACGTCTGAATGGCTTTGAGATGAGTCAGGATGGAGGCTTTCCCTCTCCACACCAACATCCCCACTCCCCACTCCAGCTGTGCTGCTTTGCAAGTGCACAATAAAATCTATTAAATGATCCTGCACGGCCCCCTCACCTCAGCCACGAGCACTTTATCTCCAAATTGCAGGCAGCTTTTTAGTACCTGACCAATTTAGTCTAATTACTACCCAGAACCCTGCAGGCAGACACTGAATAGAGTGTTTGTTGTGACATGGGAGCAGAGATGTGCCAAGCAGAACAATACCAAACGCTTCTCAAGTGGGGACGTGTGTTTGCCCACGTCCTGGGTGGGCAGAGGGTCTGAGCCCCAAGGGGTGCAGCTATGGAACTGTTGTGTGCTGGGCTGCGCCTGCAATGCGTGTGTGCACGGTGGGTGCAGCCTGGGGGTGTCACACCTCATCCTGGGGGTGTCACAACTCATCCCGGAGGTGTCACTCCTCATCCACCCGAGTGAGACGGGTCTCACCATGCTTCTCTGTGCCGCAGGGCAGCGGGCGCTGGGTGCAGCAGGCACAGCAGGCAGTGCTGTTGGGGAGGATGCGGTGACCCCCACGGACAGCACCGAGCAGAGAGGGAAAGATGCTGAGGAGGAAGAAGAGGAGGAGGAAGAGGAGGAGGAGGACACCGAGGAGGACGAGGTGCAGGTGATAGAGGTGCCGAAGGGGAGCGGCGTGGTCCCCCAGCAGCAGGAGGGCAGCATGGAGATGTCCCCCCCTTGCAGCCCCACCTGCAATGCTCCGGCAGAGAGGGCTGGGGAGCAGCTGGGGCTGGGGAAGAAGAACGACATCTCCAGGCACAGCTACTCCCGGTACAACACCATCTCCTACAGGAAGATCAGGAAAGGAAACACCAAACAAAGAATCGATGAATTTGAGTCCATGATGCACTTATAAACCGAGGTGGGGAATCTCTTAATGTGCCCGAGAGCTCGCGCTGGTTCTGGTTTTGATTGTGTTCCAAGACACGGCCTTCACACAGCACGGATCCACCCCTGCTTCCTTTTTGTATGTGATTTCCCAACTACCTTCCCCTTGACAGCAGGTGGGGCATCCATAGGACAGGGAACGATTGGTTTGCTGAAGGTGTAACGTTAATTCACTTCAAGTTCACCTGTTCCTTTTCTCTCCATTTTTCATACCCACACTCACATGGCAGCATGCCCTGAGCACACTGCAGTCCTCGTGCTGCTGGGGTGGTTGGGGCCACACAGCCCAGCCTCAGTGAGCACAGCCCAACCCAGCCCCATGCAGCTCTGGGATCAGTCCAGTACAGCCTGCCAGCACCACAGCTGTGTTCTCCACATGCTGCCATTTTACACTGTGGCTGCATTTCTTAACGTTTCTTCTCAATTTTCAAACTAAGTTTAGATGCAAAATTTTAATTTTTTTTTTTTTTTTTTTTTTTTTTTTTTTTTTTTTTGAGACAAAGCAGATTTCAGGGGCAATATTTTTTTGCCACCTGAACACAGCCTTTTCCCTTTCTCCATTTTAAAGCTCTCTTGTATAACCACGGTGCTGTGGATGCGTTCTCTTTCAAACTATTTTATGGAAAGCTTTGTCTTGAGTTGGGATCAAGCTTTGCAGACATCATCCCAGAAAGGACTGGGGATCTTCTAGGAAAGGAGAAGCTGTCTGAGCAGGGTTGGACCGTGACTCCCACCCCAGCACTCCCCTTCAGCCATCACTGCTTTTTTAATTCTCAGTTTTACATTATTTCCAGCAGCACTGAGTATTGCTTTGACTTTTTTTTGTTCCACAGAAAGGCAATTATTTATTGGCAACGTCAAAATAATAAATGGCAATTCTGTATTGTACAAACAAAACACAGTCCTCATTGTACCATTCAGAATTGTTTATTTGCTCTTTGGTTTGCAAAAACCTCAGAGGTTGGTTGTATGCCCCATAGTGCCGGTCTGTTCCCCGCTGCCTGGTGCTCCCCCGGCCCCGCTCAGCACTTCCCGGCAGGCTGCTGGCACCTGCCTGCTCCCCCTGCTCCTTCCCAGGCACTGGAGGGGCTGCACTGCGGGCAGCTCCAACCCCACTGCAGGTCTCCATTTATCACCTGCCTGTACCGTGTTGCAGTGCTTGGCTTGCATTCTCAGGGCTGTGCGCAGGGCAGGTGCTCTGTGGGAAGGCCCTGCAGAGGATCAGGACAGGCTGGTCGCTGGGCTGAGGGCAATGGGGTGAAGTTCAATGAGAACAAGTGCCAGGTCCTGCACTTTGGCCACAGCAACCCCATGCAGCACTACAGGTGTGGGGCAGTGGCTGGAAGGCTGTGTGGAGGAAAAGGATCTGGGGCTGTTTGTGGATGGCTGCTGATCGTGAGCCAGCAGTGTGCCCAGGTGGCCAAGGAGGCCAACAGCATCCTGGTTATGTCAGCAGTGGTGCAGCCAGCAGAGCAGGAGGTGATTGTTCCTCTGTACTCAGCTCTGGTGAGGCTGCACCTCAGTGCTGTGTTCAGTTTTGGGCCCTTCTCTACCAGAAAGACACTGAGGTCCTGGAGTGCGCCCAGAGAAGGGCAATGGAGCTGTGCAGGCTCTGAGCACAGACCCATGGAGAGCACAGGCTGAGAGAGCTGGAATGGGTCAGCGTGGAGAAGGGGAGGCTCGGGGGAGCTCTTACAGCTCTCTACAGCTCCTGACAGGAGGTTGTGGTGAGGTGGGGGTCTGCCTCTGCTTCCAGGTAACAGCAATAGGCTGAGAGGTGATGGCCTCGCATTGTGCCAGGGGAGGGACAGGTTGGGTATTAGGAAACATTTCTTCTCCTGCGCCAGTCAAGCATCGGCACAGCTGCCCAAGGGGTGGTAGAGTCACCATCCCTGGGAGTATTCAAGGCCTGGGGAGATGTGGCTCTGAGGGATGTGGTCAGTGGGCATGGTGGGGGTGGGCCGAGGTTGGACGCGGCCATCCTAGAGGTCTTTTCCAACCTTAAGAGTCGCCATGGTAATTCTATGACATTTAGGGCACACAGCATGGTGGGAACGGGAGGCAGCTCCAGGGGGTCAGGACTGGAGGCACAGCCTCATTCTGAAATGAATTCCTCTCTGTTGTCACTGTGCTGGGTTAGGAGCTGTGTGGCTGTGCTGGGATCCGTGCTCCCTGTGCGTCACCAGCAGTCCCTGAGGGTGTGCTGGGGTCTGAGTCAAAGACACCAGCAGTGCAGCGAGCACTGACACAGGGGGATAAATGCAAAGGACAATGCTGGGGACGGGATGTGACTGTGACATGGGAACACGCTCTGACTGTTCCGTGACAAATGATTGAATGTCAGCAAACAGCATTTAATGAAATTCATGCTCCTGATACAACATGACTGCACAAACAACATCTGTGCAATTTTTCTGATAGTGACTGCAGGCGAGCAGCACCAAAGGGGGGAGATAAAATCAGGAAGACATATGGAGCAGGAGCCAATTGTGGAAATCTGTTAGGGCAGTCAATGGTGTGGCAGACGCAGGCTGTCAAGTGCTGTCAGCACTGATCCTCAATGTGAAGGGTAACACTACGCTGTGCCTCTTGAACTCGGAGGAGAAGTGTGAGCTGGTCTGCAGCAGCCTGTAAATGCTGGACAGCAATGTGCAGCTGCAGTGTCAAAGCCACCCCACAGTGCCCACAGCCACCCCACAGTGCCCTGCTGGCTGCACACAGAGCAGGGAGCCCAGAGGTACTCCTGTCAGCACGTGCTGCTTCTGGGATGTTAAAAAGGTCAGCTTATGAGAAGACAGAGGATTTCAGAAAATATTTCTATTTAATAACACAGAAAACAATGTGGTTTTTTGCCTCACAGTTGAAAGAAAACCACATTTCCAATGTCCTTATGCCAGCTGTGCTACACGGGGTGCTCCAAGCTCTCTCTGTGCTGGCTCAGTTCTGGCTTGGAAAGGAACTCTCAGCTCTGTCGCTGCTGCTGGATGTCTTGCAGTGGCCCAGTGCTCCATCACGCCACATGGTAACTGCCAAACCTCCACTGCTGGTAGCGGTTGGTGGCACTGCATGCACCCAGCCTCAGGGCCAGCAGCACTGGGTGCACGAGCAGGCAGGCAGGTGGATGCTGGTGCTGCACCACAAGGTGCTCAGCCTGTGGAGAGGGTGATCCTTTGGGTTCACATCTACACATCTTTTCCCCCATACCCCCATACCAGACAAGCTCTGTCCCAGGGCTGCTCCTATTGGGATGTTCTGTGCCTGGCCTGCAGTGCTTTGCACACACATGTGGTAACACTGAGGGGAAACAGTCCTGAAAGGACATGTGCATTTCTGCGTAGGCAAAAATTGGATTTTTTTTTGTACATGGTAAATGCAACTTACATCACCAACGTGACACAGTCACTGTGGCAGCAGAAGGTAAAGCACTGCACATGCCATGCTGCCCCTCTCCCCATAATGCATGGAAGTATTACTGCTTTGGACAGAAGAGGAAAGGGATCTTTGCTATAGGATGAAGTGCTAAGTCACAGCTACTGTTCTTCTCTGCAAAATTAGGAGTATTACCAAGTTCCTCAGAGCGAAGCCCTGCAGAGGGCCAGCACAGGCATTGCAGTACAGGTCATAAAGTTAAGTTCCCATTTTCTTCCTTTTCAAAACACTTTTCTTTAAAAAAAGCCACACTGTGAATGGAACACCAGTGGATACCAACACCAGTGTAAGTGCTACCCGTCACCCGGTGTGCCACCAGGGCTTGTGGCTGTCACCACACTGCAGATGATGCAGCCCTGCTGTGCACAGCCCTGCCATGGTGCTTCCCTCCTGCTCCACACAGAGTGGCCAGGCAGTCAGGGCTGGGGGCTGTGGGGAGTTGGGATGCCACTCACCAGCTCAGGGCGTGCTGCCATGGAGCTGTGCCTCCAGGCCAGGTCGCTCTCCCAGCCCCCACAGGGCCGCAGTCCCGGCGCAGCACCCACAGGCACCACGCACAGCTCTCCATGCCGCAGCAGCCGCAGCCAGGTGTAGTTGAAGTGCTGCGCCTGCAGGAGGGATGGGTGATGGGGACCCTCTGCCAAGACCCCAGGAGCCGCTCCCACAGGGGCAGGGGTACACACAGCAATGGCACAGTGTGCTCCGTGCAGCACCTTACCTTGTTGTTAGCATCACAGGCCTGCAGAGCCAGAGAGGTGTTCTGTGCGGCAATGCAGCGCGCCGTGGCTACATTCACAAGCTGAAAAACAACACCAACATGCACACTGAGACATCAGCTGTCACAAAGAGCATAGGCCGTGCCCGTGCCAGCACTAATTAACACTGCACACTCAAAGGGGGGAAGCAGAGCCACCACACATCATGCTCTTTGGTGCGTGTGTCAGCGCACACTGGCTCTGCTACACATTTCTACAGCAGGAGAAACCTGAACCCAGCCCCTTCTGGAAGCACTCAAAGCAGGACAAGATGAGCTCCTTTCAGTGCACAGCATTGGTGCAGGTCGTTGAAAGCAGCTCCAAGCTCTGCCCATGACCTGTGGCTGAGAGCAGTGCACCACAGGGATGGCAGCAGCCACGGCTGCAGGTGCTGCCATCAAACCCCAGCCCCTGCAGGGCTGCGCACTCCTGTCTCTTTCTTTGCAAATGCAGTTCCTCTCCCTCTTTCAGAATTGCTGAAGAATTTCCAAATTAATCCTGGGGAATAAGCAGGTTGTTCAGAACACAGCTCCCAAGTAAATATGGTTAGGGTTCAGCACAGCTGGAATTTGCAGAGCTAGCTGAAAAACAGATTTTCTGCCCTATTAAATTTTGAGAATGAAGATAAAAGGGCAATTCAGGTGGCCTGAACTGGGACAAAGCATGGCAGCACCACGGACATTTTCACAGGCACAGAACTGAGGAGGTTGTGGTTCCATTGAAACAAAGGTCCCTGTGTATGGCCTCACTGCTCTGCTCTGGATTTGATGTGGGGTTTTATTGTTGTAGTTGAAGCAGAACTCCTAAAAAAAGTGAATGCTTTCCAGAAATTTGGAACATTTTTTCCATGTTCTCAAGGCTAGTGCTGCGAAGCCCAGCTTGCCGTGGAGCTCTTGGGCCTGCACTCAGACACACGGGGCAGGCGGGGAGCCCTCTGGGTTGCACTGCTGGTGTTGCTGTACCTCATCTTACAAAGCAGGCACTTTACTGATGTGACTGCAATCAGAAATAGACTGCGAGGAACTGAGCGCGTTGTCTTGGCAGAATTCCGGAGCAGAGCGGCGATGTGCTGCGCCCTGCTGGTGGGCACGGAATGAAATAGCACAGAACTGCACGGCTCTTCAACGCCCCTCAGAAATGCGACTTGCAGCTCTTCATAAAAATTCAGACTTGATGAAGTTTATAGAAACTTCACAAAAATACAGCGGAATCCTGACTGTCGTGATGGATTAAAGAGCCTAAACCACCACCACATGCCAGGAAGCTGC